TTGATTACTGCAACTTTCTGTAGTATATCTTGAAATCTGGAATTTTACTTTTCTTTGTCAAGATTGCTTTGGCTATTTGGGGTCTTTTGTGGTTCCATATACATTTTAGGATTGTTCTAGTTCTGTGAAAAATACTGTTGATATTTTGGTGGGGACTGCATTAAATCTGTAGATTGCTTTGGGTAGTTTAGATGTTTTAACATATTTGTTCTTCCAATCCATGAGCATGTGTCTTTCCATTTCTTTGTGTCATCTTCAATTTCTTTCATTAATGTTTTATAGTTTTCAGAGTATAGGTTTTTTACCTCTGTGGTTAAGTTTATTTGTAGGTATTTTGTTGCTTTCGGTGCAGTTGTAAATGGATTGTTTTCTTAATTTCTCTTTCTGCTGCTTCATTATTAGTGTACAGAAATAAAACAGATTTCTGTATTAGTGACTTTGTATCCTGTGACTTTACTGAATTCATTTATCAGTTCTAGTAGTTTTTGGTGGAGCCTTTAAGGTTTCTATACACAGTATCATGTCATCTGTAATAGTGCAAGTTTTACTTCTTCCTTACCGATTTGGATGCCTTTTATTTCTTTTTATTGTCTGATTGCTGTGGCTAGGTCTTCCAGTACTATGTTGAATAGAAGTGGTGAGAGTGGACATCATTGTCTTGTTCCTGACCTTAGGGGAAACACTCTCGTTTTTTTCCCCATTAAGTATGATGTTCAGCCTTTATTATGGCCTTTGTTGAGGTATGTTCCCTCAAAACCTGTTTTTTTGTTGAGGGTTTTTATCATGAATGGATATTGTACTTCATCAGATGCATTTTCTTTATCTGTTGAAATGATCATATGGTATGTATCCTTTCCTTATTGATGTGATGTATCAGATTGATTTGCAAATATCAAACCACCCTTGCATCCTGGGAATAAATCCTACTTGATCATGATGAATGATTTTTTTAATGTATTGTTGGATGTATTTTTTTAATGTATTGTTGGTTTGCTAGTATTTTGTTGAGGATTCTTGCATCATATTCATCAGAGATACTGGCCTGTAGTTCTCTCTTTTTTTTTTTTTTTTATGGTGTCTTTATCTGGTTTTGGTATCAGGAATGAAGAGAATGAGTGGATTTTGGGAGTTTTCATTCTTGTACTTTTTGGAATGGTTTGAGAAGAATAGGTGTTAAATCTTCTTTAAATGTTTGGTAGAATACCCCTGTGAAGTCTTAAGGTCCTAGACTTTTGTTTTTTGGGAGTTTTTTGATTACTGATTCAGTTTCTTTGCTGGTAATCTCAGTCTGTTCAAATTTTCTATTTCTTCCTGCTTCAGTTTTGGTAGGTTATATGTTTCCAGGAATTATATCTGTTTCTTAGTTGTCCAGTATTGTTGGCATATAATTGTATTTCTGTGGTATTGGTTAATTCTCTTCTTTCACTAGTGATTTTGCTTATTTGGGTTCTTTCTTTCTTTCTTTCTTTCTTTCTTTCTTTCTTTCTTTAATGAGTCTAGCTAGAGGTTTATCAATTTTGTTGATCTTTTCAAAGAACCATCTCCTGGTTTCATTGGTCTGTTCTGTTTTTTAGTTTATATCATTTCTGTTCTACTCTTTATTATTTCTTTCCTTCTCCTGGTTTTGTTGTTCTTTTTCTACTTCCTTTAGCTTTAAGGCTAGGTTGTTTATTTTAGTTTCTACATACCATTTCTGATCTACTCTTTATTATTTCCTTCCTTCTCATGCTTTTGGGTTTTGTTGTACTTTTTCTGGTTCCTTTCGGTTTACAGTTAGATTGCTTATTTGAGACTTTTCTTGTTTCTTGAGGTAGGCCTGTATTGCTATAAATTTCCCTCTTAGGACTGCTTTTGCTGCATCCCAAAGATTTTGGATCATTGTATTTTCATTTTCATTTTTTTCCATGAAAATTTTTAATTTCTTTGTTTTCTTGGTTGACCCATTTATTGTTTAGTAGCATGTTTTTTAATTTCCATGTATTTGTGCTCTTTCCAGATTTTTTCTTGTGGTTGATTTCTAGTTTCATAGTGTTATGATCAGAAAAGATGCATGGTATGACTTTGATCTTTTTGAATTTGTTAAGATTTGTTATGTGGCCTAATATGTGATCTACTCTGGAGAATGTTCCATGTGCCCGTGAAAAAAATGTGTATTCTGCTATATTAGGCTGGAATATTCTGAATATATCTGTTAAATCCATCTGGTCCACTGTATCATTCAAAGCCACTATTTCCTTGCTGATTTTTTGGTTGGATGATCTGCCCACTGATGTTAAGTGTTAAAGCCCCCTACTATTATTGTATTAACTGTTTTATGTATTTGAGTGCTTACATGTTGGGTGCATAAATATTTACAATTGTGTTACCTTGTTAGATTGTCTCCTTTATTATTATATAGTGTCATTCTCTGTTACAGTCTTTGTTTTAAAGTCTGTTTTGTATGCTTTAAGTATTGCTACTCTGGCATTCTTTTGACAGCCATTTGCATGACGTTTCTCCATCCCTGTGCTTTCAATCTGCAGGTGTCTTTCGGTCTGAAATTAGTCTCTTAAAGGCAGCATATAAATGGGCCTTGCTTTTTTTATCCACCCTGTTACCCTGTGACTTTTGATGGGGGCATTTAGTTTGTTTACATTCAAAGTAATTATTGTTATATAAGTATTTATTGCCATTTTGTTAGTTGTTTTGCGGTGGTTTTGTAGTTGTTCTCTGATCGTTTCTTCTCTTGTTCTCTTTTGTGATTTGCTGGCTTTCTTTAGTGATGTACTCAGATTCCTTTCTCTTTGTTACTTGCATATCTATTACTGGTTTTTGATTTGTGGTTGACATTAGGTTTGTATATAACATTGTTTGCAGGATATTTGGTATTTTTTATTACATTTTATAATCTTAGGTTTTAATGGTATAAGCCAACAAGCCTTGTGAACGTAGTTTGTTTTTTTAGTTGCAAAAGTTTAACACCCAAAGTAAACAGTGGAGCTAGGTAATATGAATAATGGGATTTGATGTGATGTTACAGTTGAGGATGAAGTTTAGCTATTTATTTTTATTATTCATTTATACTGATAGTTCCTATATGGCTTGTGGTTACCTGTATAACACCCAGTTATGATTCTGTCTGAAAACTTAATTTAGAAAAAATAAATATTTTTTAAAAGCTAAGAAAATGAAAAGGTTCACATTATGTTTTGATGAAACTAAAACTCACAGCTGATATTAAATACCTAATATTTACAGTAAAAATTTTAGAACCTCTGTGTATTCTCTAGCTTTTATGTTCAAGTTTGTTTTTAGAAATGGAAATCTCATTAGTTTATATACATAACTTTTTAGAATATATGAACATGATTTATCCTTTTTCCTTTCTTCACTTAAAAGATCTTTATTGAATGCCTACTGATTGCTAGGTGCTGTGCTAATAGGCATAGGGGTTGTGACGGTGAGCATTCTTAAAATCTGTGATATCTACTATGTAGAAAAAAAATAAGTGCTTTGAGAGTATAAAATAGGAATATCCTTCATCTAAGTAAGATTTCTTGAGAAAGTTATGTTTCTGAGACAAAGTATGAGTAATAATTAACCAGACAAAAGGGGAAGAGGTATTCCTAGCAAAGGGACTCGTCTTTACAAAGGTGCTGTGTATGAAGGGAGCAGAGCACATTGGAGAAACCAGAAATCCGGTAACTAGAGCACAGAGATCAAGGAAGAGAGAGAATAATGGTAGAAGCAGTGTGCAGACTCTAATTTTTGGAGTGCAGAGAACTTTGTGGGACACTTTAGTAAAGATTTTAGTTTTTACTCTAAGAGCAGTGGGGAAATCATTAAAGCTTTTGAATGGGACTGTTGGTATGGTCAGAATTTGCATTTTGACAAGATCCACCAGACAGCAGTGGGAGAACAGAATGAAATAGGGCAAGAGTGAAATGGAGAAAACAGTTTGGTGGCTTTGCATTAGTCCCAGCAAGAGATGGTTCATAACTTGAATGTGGGTGGATGAAGAGGAAGTAAAGGGAAATCCACACATTCAAGATACATTTAGTTGGTAGAATTCTCTGGAGTTGATAGATTACCAGGGATTTGGGAGAAAGTTGTCACAGGTGACTTTGAGGTACCTGCCTTTCACAATTGGAAAGCAGTGATACATTTGGTAGGGCAAAAAACACTAGAAAGAGAACCAGGAATGGGGGTGGGAATGGGTCATGAGTTCAGTTTTGGACCTCTTGATTACAGGCAACTCTTGAAAAATTTGAGAGAGGAAAGAAGCCACAGCCAGAGGAGGAGAATGCAGGACAGAAGATTTTAGAACTGTGACAGACTTGAGCGTGTTTAAAATACTGAAGAAAAGGAAGGATCCAATATAGAGAGAAGTTTCAAAATTATTGAAGGAGGAAGGGGGTAATTAAGGGAGCAGAAGTTCTTATTAAAGTCTAGAAAGAGCCTACTCAAGTGGAATTACTGGTCTTAAATAAGAGATGCAGCGCCTCTTGTGTTTTAACAAGAGAGAGAAAGAAGAGGGTTGTGTGAACGTAATGTTTAGTGACTGGGCATTGTTTTTCCTGAGATGGGGCTGCTGGCCTTTACTGAAAGGGGTCGGCCTCAGGAAGGAGGCAAAATCCATGTCTGAGGAAAGTGGGAATTTTGAGATAGTTATAGTGGTTAGTGAATTGAGAAACATAGGATTTCCTGGCTGCATTGAGGGAAAATTTTTTGTTTAATGAGTATCATTTAATATTATCTTAAATACATTTGGAAAACCACAAGAATGTGAGCTCATAGAATTCATGGTGACCCTGTATACTTTTAAGTTATGGCATCAGTTTGCCAAAACCTAGTGCTACCCTGGATATTAAAGCAGGGACACTATTTGCAATGTCACAAATAGAGGTGCTATACATCTTGATGTAGTATATGATTTCACCTAACTTTTAGGTTTTAGTGTTACTTATGTTGAGTAGGCCTAGTTTGTTTCTAACTGATGTTCTTTTTTCCCTTTTTTTTAGGCAGGCAGAAGTCCTGAAGGCTGACATGACAGGTACTGGCTGGCTCATTTGGTTTTCACAGCTTATTTTATATACCATTAACGGAATTAAGGGAAGGGTCTCATCTTTCCTATATTACTTGTTGCACTGTCCTAGTTGCCAAAAGTGATGATGACTTAAAATTTGCTTTAAATAATTACTGTTTTTGAACTTTGAATTCTTTTTTTTTTTTTTTTATGTTTATGTATTTATTTTGAGAGAAGGAGGGAACACGCACATGTGAGCCAGCAGGAAAGGGGCAGTGAGAGAAGAAGAGAGAGAATCTTAAGCAGGCTCTGTGCTGACAGCTCCCCCAGTGTGGGGCTTGAACCCATGAACCATGAGATGATGACCTGAGCTGAAATCAAGACACTTGACCAACTGAGCCATCCAGGCGCCCCTGAACTTTGAATTCTTACTTAGATGGTTAAGAATTTTATATAATCTGTGCTACGTTGTATTGAATATTACCTAATTTAATGCATATAACCATTTAATTTTTATGAACTATTTGTCATCAATTTAAGACATAGAAGAAAGAATTCATATACCATATAAATAAAAATACCTTATGGTATTAAGTTCATGTCTTCCTGTTGATAATTCTCCAAACTTGAATAGTAAGTAAACCTTGAGAAAAAATATTTGTAGGAAAACTGTACTAAAAGTCCTTGAAATTGACTGAACTGCCTTGCCACCTTTCTTTTCTCCCTTTTTTTTGTTTTGAATAGCCAGGGTGTTTTTGAAAGAAGAACTGAAAGTCCCTAGAAAGAGCAGATGATTTTAACTCCAAAATTAGGAAATATATGGCACTATGTAGTGATCAGTATGCTCTCTATAGCAGCATATGCTGTTCTAAAGTATAAAAAGAGATAATGTGATAATGAATCTCATTCTAATTTTTGAGGACTTTAGTTCTGCAGTGAAATCCACAAAGAGTTAAACTGTTACAACCAGCATTCTGGCCAGAATTTACAATCAAGAGGAAATTAAGACTCTTTAGATGTCTTTTTCTCAACATTGCAGGCCAGTGTTAATGTTGATGCTAATGTTTTAAGAATGTGGTAATACCATCGTCATCTTCTTAAGATAAAAAGAAAAATTCTAAAAACACTTTTTACAGGTATACTTAGTATAGCACCTCAGTTCTTCCCCATTATTAACATAACTGTCGTCATCTTCCTTACTACGGATATTGGTGTCAGCCCTGAGGCACTATATTATGCTTTTGTCATGGTAGGCATAATCTCCATTATGTGACCAAAATTGTGCATGGAGTGATGTTAGGCTGACTATACCTTTTACTTTTTCTTAAGTATTGAATACCCTCAGGAAGTAGGGTTAGGGTTTGGCTTTTATAGGGGACATTTGGCTGCCTAGAAACATTAAGATATGAAGTAATTTAAATGGTAGTCTGTCTGATAAAACAGAGCTAGTGATCCCTTATAATCCTTTCCTTGCCATCGATGAATTGAAACAAGACTGAATAAATCTATATTTAGCCCTAAAACCTAATAAGGGACCAAGAAGCTGATACTACATCCTGTTTTGTTTTGTTTTGTTTTGTTTTGTTTTGTTTTGTTTTGTTTTTAGTCACAAACTCTTGTGAGGATTAACTCAGGAGATTTTATTTGCAGACCTAGAGAAGAGTAAAGATTATGCCATTGTGTCCCAGTAAAATATCAAATGTAATCAGAAGCCTAATTGAAAAGTCTTTTATTAAGTTCTTCTATTGGGGCAGATCACTGTCAGTTATTGCACTCATAAGCCTAGTAATCAGAAAGGCTAATGTGTCTTTCAGGACTCTGGCAGACAGTACGGCCCCAACTGAGTATTACATTTTGTCATAGCCTGACTTCCTGATTTCATCTTTCACCCAATCTCTCATTTGGCCTCTTGAGCAGCTTAATCATCATGTGCTGCAAATTCTCATTTATGTTAAATGGCAAGTATGGATTGCTCACAAAAGTTTCTTGGCAAGCAATTTATCAATCATTAAAATAACCCTTACTGTTATGGCTTTATCGGGTTGACATTATATAGAGTAGGAATAACAGCAGAATGCGCAAACAGCTGCTGGATTGTGAACAGACGTGAAGATTCTGTAAGGACAGTTGAGAATGATTCAGAATAAAAAGAAAAAAGCTGCTCTGGACAGAGATACACTTATGAGAGTAAACAGACCATCTTGGCAGTTCATCATTTCAAATGGGGGGACTTTTGTGGCATATGGCTTCCTGTGATATGAATACGTAGAAATCCAAACTAAAGCAAAGGGTGCACCATTCGGGGTTTTTTTTGTTTTTTAGCCTTTTTCATGTGTTATTTCAAAGCTAAAAGACAAATACACAAGCATTTTGAACCAGATTCAGTCATTAGCCTGAAGGTGAGAGTCGTTTTAAAATGTAGTAGTATAAAACTTCTGCAGCAATCTATGGTATGAAGCAGGTTTTTGCTTTGGGGAGTGGAGAGGGAAGGAGTCATTGGTGTAGTATAATGGTTTTAACTCTGTTTTTCTATATATCTGCTGTTTGTTTGTTTGTTTGTTTTGTTACTCAGATTCTAAGCTGGGTCCAGCTGAGGTCTGGACATCCAGGCAGGCTCTGCAGGACCTGTACCAGAAAATGCTAGTTACTGATTTGGAATACGCTTTAGACAAGAAAGTAGAACAGGATCTGTAAGTACTATCATTTGGGATGTGCCCGTAAGATCAAGAGTTTCAGCAAGACTTTAGAATAAAAAACAATTTGGTTGTTTCTTCTTAACCTGTCTCAGAGTAACAGGTCTTTCAATGAAAACAAAAAATTCTAGTACTTGTGATTTTTTTGGAACAGAATATTTGACCATTGTTATTACTTCAGATAATCTTAGGCAGCAAGAGGAGAATGCTTGAAGTTGAGTCTTATTCAGGTCTTTGGGGTATATCATAAAAACAAATCTATGTATATTTCAAGTACTAAGAGACAGTGTTTGGATTCTCTGTATGTGTTCAGTCCTGCATTTAAACCATGACTAAAAAAGAAATTCAACAGTAAACTTTAGATAAATCTTCTTTGGTGAATGTGATTCTATAAATTTCTCCCAAAGGAAAATGTGTTTGCATTGTAAGGGAACTTCTTCCTTTTATAAAATAAGTAGGTATTTCCTTCCCCCCCACCCCTAATAAAACTAAAGAAAGATTTTGTATATTTAGGCTATTCCACTTGTTCTTTCTATGAGAGGTGAAATGACAGATGACCAGATTCCCAAGTGAGTAAATAAATGCCTTTTGTGGAGGGCCTTGCCTTATAAATTGGATCAAGGATATTAGCCTGATGAAATATTAAGAATCAGTTAAGAATATTCTATTTAGTAATGCCTAGTACCCTAAGTTGTGGTGAAGATTAGTTTTTCCTATATTGTTCACCTTTCTTAGATACTTTATATTTTTAGGAGTTCTAGTAATAAAAGAGCTTAATCACAGCCACTCAGAATCCGTATCTATGATATTAGAGGCAAGGATAAAATGTCATCAGAAATACTGAGGGAGCGATTGTCCTCATGAAGCATTAAAAACGCAAGTGCTCTAGTGTCTCAAAAGTTGACATTGATAAAGAATTAGGTACTTTCCAGGTAGGTTGTAGACCTTTCATCTGTGTTTGCTTCCTTTAATCAAGCCAGTGATAATCTCCCTCCATCCTAGTTCTGTTTTCCCCACCCCCCACTGTGGTTTCCAAGTTAAGGAATGACTGTATTTCACCCTAACTGAATCTAAAATGATTCTTTACACAGCTTGATTCAAGAAAAACATTTTATAATAGAATTTTGATATGCCGTATTTCAGCACTGTGTTTTTTCCTATTTTAAATAGCCAAAATTGAAATATCAAAAAATGAACTTATATTTCAAGCTGTGAAGAAAACATTAACCCCAAGAGAAATAAAGAAAGCATTAAAAAGAATTAGAACAGAGTGCTGTGGGAAATAGATTTTATGGAAATAAGAGATATGGCTTAATATCGAAAAAGAAATTTTCCCCTTATACCTGTCACTTAATAAGGATATACTCAGTCATTTCTTGGCACAGTGTATATGGCAATTTGTTGATAGCTTACTTTTACTTTGGTCTTGCGACTGTAGTTCTTGTTTTGTACTGGGATTCCTAAATAGGCTTTAACTATAGTAGTTCTAAAAGATTAATAACTGAAGCCACAGTCTGATTATTCGAACATTTGGTAAGTGTTTACTAAGGTCAGTTGGATTCTATTGCATGTCTGGTCTTGCTCAAAGAGGAGCATAAAGTTATTTAAATAAGTGAGTAACTTTAATGCAGGTTTACTGTCTAGTGTGTTATAATTATAACAAACAGTTCTTTCTTGTTCTCAGGGGGACCAGTGTCTGCCCAGTGAGTCACTGCTATACCAAATAGAATTACATTTTGTTTTCAGCTGGAATCATGCCTTTAAGAATCAGATCACAACACTACAAGGCCAGGCAAAGAATCGAGCAAACCCGAATCGGAGTGAAGTTCAGGCAAACCTATCTCTGTTCCTAGAGGCAGCTAGTGGCTTCTATACTCAGGTGAGTTCTGCATTGTATATCAGTTCTCCTAGAATTAGTCATGAATGTTCTTTATACACATCTTGTTTAATAAGTACTTTTTGTTATGATTATGGGGGCATCCAGGAGTTGATCACCTATAACCCCTCAAGTGAATAAAAATATCCCAGATTGTTGACCATAAGACCTTTAAAACAAAAAAGATTCAATCAAAAAAGGTTTATGGGGCTCCTGGGTGGCTCAGTCGATTAAGTGTCCTACTTCGGCTCAGGTCATGATCTCGCGGTTTGTGAGCTCGAGCGCCGCGTCAGGCTCTGCACTGACAGCTCGGAGCCTGGAGCCTGCTTCTGGTTCTTTGTCTCCCTATCTCTCTGCTCCTCGTCTGTTCATGCTCTGTTTCTCTTTCTCTCAAAAATAAATAAACATTAAAAAAAATTTTTTTTTAAAGTTTATGTTTTGGTTTAAAGTTTGGAGATACAATTGTGTGAGTAGAAAAAGGGTCATGAGAGCCATATCTTAGTGAAACAGCAAAAGTAGTCTGGTATAAGTGGTATTAGAGCAAATGTGAATTTATGGGTATGGGCATAGTTCATTGTGAAAGTAACAGCTGTGTTGTGCCAGGTAAGAAATAGTCAAAATTTGTGATATCAAGTGAGTTTTCATAGTATTAATGTGTTTAGTAGAATTTATCTGAAGCTTTAAATGCTGTTAAGCTACCTAAGAAATGAAGTAAATTTTCCTCCATTTTAATAATAAAATGATTACTTTATTATTTTAATGATTTATCATCCTCAGAGACTTATCTTGTGCTTGGTTACATGCTGATAAAACTTCTAAACCGGGCGGGTTAAACAATACATAAATCTTCTTTCTGAACAATGAATTTTCTTTAAACAGAATATTTTAGAAAACTTCATCTCATCCATTTGTAGTAGCATTCATAATTAATAAAATGTGTATAAACTCTCATCTTAGAATGGCGAGACACAGTTTTGGAGATCTTAGACTAAAAGAAATCTTTGGCCATTCCCTCTGTGCTTGCTGCTTGACCGTTGCTACCTGTATTTCGGCTCCATTTTGGTTTTACCATGTCTCGGAATGAAGGAAAAGGAAAGGCTGTGTTGGAAGTTGTCACATAGTTAGCCATCATCTTACAGAGATTATTTGTTTTACTTAGACTAAAACATTGTTCACAGTTGATCATTGAAAGAACTAAAGTATGGTTCTTCTTTTCAAAATTAATTTTTAAATGGATGCCAACTTCTAGCAGTAGAAGTTGGTACTTCTGGAGAGAGGGATTGCAGTGTGCCACTAACTAGTCCTTAAAGCAGATGTTAAAGATTAATTCATTCCACAAGTTGGCTTTTAAAAGCCTACTGTTCTAAGGCACACTGCAGATACTGAGGATAAGAAGGGAAAAGAGATAGTCTTTTCCTTTTTTTAAGGGAATATCTAGTCTAAATGAAGAGATGGATACATTAATAGATATTCCTTTTTGCTTTCTAATTATAAAAATAATGCATACTAGTTTTAAGAAATTTGGAAATTACACAGAAAAAGATTTAATTCTGTTCAGGATAAATTACTACTTTAATATATATTCTTCTGATGCTTTAATAATTTTGTACATAGTTGTACATATCCAGTATTATATCTCCTTTATAAACATGTAAGTTTTCCCTTGTATTGTCATGCAGTTTGATAAGCATTTTCTCTAATATTGGATTATTTGATGATGACATTCTTCACTGGATGATGAATAAAATCATTGGATAATCAAGTTATAAAACTGTTAACATACATTGTTATTTCCCAGGAGATTATCATTTATATTTTTATATTTCCATCAGCAGTGTATGTAAGTGTCCATCTTTTTTATTTATTTTTGAGAGAGAGAGACAGAGCGAGTGGGGGAGGGGCAGAGAGAAAGGGAGACACAGAATCTGAAGCAGGCTCCAGGCTCCACGCTGTCCGCACAAAGCCCAACACGGGGCTTGAACTCACAAGCTGCAAGATCATGACCTGAGCTGAAGTCGGACACTTAACTGGCTGAGCCACACAGGCGCCCCTGCAAAAGTATCTATCTTGATGCATGCTTGCCAGCGTTAAGTGTTTTCAGTAAAAGTGAATGCATGATTAAATGAGTAACTTACACTTATTAGATGGAAAATAATTTTTCTTTTAAAATTTAATGTTTGGGTTATTAGTATTGACTGCATTCCTATTTTATTAGATGTTTGTATTTTGTATAAGTCATTGTTTACTTTTCCTACTCATCATTTGGATCCTATTGTTTTCATGGTGATTTGTCTGATTTATACTGAAAGATACTAATTTTTTCCATTATTTTTGGCAGATATCTTTTTCTCAAGTTTCTTCTTTTGTTCTTTCATTTAAATCAGAGTTTCCTAATGTTACCAGGTTCTTTTTTTTTTTTTTAATATGGTTTTTTTTGTTTGTTTTGTTTTGTTTTGTTTTTGTCCATAGGTCAGTGGAGGGAGTGTGAGCAGGGGAGGGGCTGGGAGGGTGGGGGAGAGAAAATCCCAGGCAGGCTCAACGCAGGGCTTGAACTCAAAATTGTGAGATCATGACCTAGGCCAAAATCAAGAGTCAGACACTTAACCATCTAAGCCACCCAGATCAATGGATATTTAGTAAGGGCAATAATATTTATATTTAAAGGAACAAATAGATATTATAATTCAAATCTCAATATTTGAAAATTAGCACCAATATCTTATAGTAATGATTAAATTATGACATCTGTAAAATGCAAATTTATGAAACTATTATAAGTTGATGTTTATGAAGATCTTTTAAGTTGATGAAAAGATCGTGTTATTGAATTACAGTTTGACTGGATATGTTAATCGAGGAATCTCAGCTCAGAGTATTAACAAAAGTGTTATCCCCTACCCCGCCATCACTACTTTCATCTATGCTTTGTTGAATTCCAGATTTCTACCATAACTTCTTAGAAAGATTTCATAACATTCTGGTTGCTTTTAGATTTTTGAAATATAGTCTAGTTTTAAAACTCTAGTCCGATTCAAATCTGTATTCCTTCCTCTCCCTATGTAGTAGAAAGTGGAATTTTGAATGAACACAGCTGAAGTAGGGGGAGCAGTAGGGACCCCGAGCAGCTGGGCATGGTGGAAGAGAGGGAAGGAGTCCATATGCTACAATACATTTTTATTATAGTTGTTATACAGATTGGTTAATAACCTAGAAACATGATTTTTAACCTTTTTTATGATGCAGTGTAACACATTTCCAAAGTTTTAATTGCACCTTGATAAATCTGCAAGGAAGGAAAACAAGAATCATTTTTATTGAGGGAGTATGGTAATTGTAAACAAAATTTTATAGGCAGGTAAATAAAATCATTCAAATTATTTTATAATGAAAAAGATATGGCTAATCTAATTTTGAAAAACATTTTTTCGATTTTTATAATAAGCATTGATTTTCTCCACCAGCATTCCTTAGGCAGTGGTTGAACAATTAAAACAATTGTAGAATGAGCGTTAATAAACTTTTTCATATATTAACATTAATAGGATATTTTACTTGCATTTTTATGTTGTCTTCGTTTGATAATTGAAACAGTTAATGGTGTTGCTAACAATAATGTTTTATACATCTTTCTTGATTACACATAGTACAGATTAAGCTATGAGACTGAGGGTGTAGACCAAATCCACATCATCATACAATCTACTAGGCCACGATGAGTTTTGAATTTTAATCTTTAAGTGTAGTTGCGAGCCGTTGGAGAGGAGGCAGGGACGTAACATGATAAAGTTCGCATTTTTAAAAGATTATCCTAGCAGGGGGCTCCTGGGTGACTCAGTTGGTTGAGTGTCTGAGTCTAGCTTAGGTCGTGATCTTGCAGCTAGTGAGTTCGAGCCCTGTGTCGGGCTCTGTGCTGACAGCTCAGAGCCTGGAGCCTGCTTCAGATTCTGTGTCTCCCTCTCTGTCTACCCCTTCCCCACTCAGGCTCGCTCTCTCTCTCTCTCGCTCTTTCTCTCTTTCTGTCAAAAATAAATAAACATTAAAAAAAAGTAATAAAAAAAAAAAAGATTATCCTGGCTGTTGTATGGAGAATGTTGTATGGGGGTTAGGAATGGAAGCTAATTAGGATGCTACTGTGGTAATAGAAAAAAAGTGATGGATTTTTGAAGATTAACCAATAGACTTGATCATGGATTGGACTGGATATGTGGAATCAAGATAGGGGAGGAGTCAAAGATGACTTCAGTTATCAGATTGAGCAGCTAGTTGACTAGTTGTACCATTTACCAAGATGGAGAATACTGAAGAGAAAACATCTCTGTCCGTGTTAAGTTAGATAGCCTATTTGACATCTGAGTGCAAATGTCATATAGGTAATTGGATAAATAAGCTTGGAGCCCTGTAAGAAGGTCAGGGCCAGAGTAAATTTTATGATTACAATGAAGAACCCTGCCTTAGTCAGACATTAGTGTTTGGTATTTAAAACCGTAGAGCTAGGTGAGAACAGGTCACCACAAGAGGAGCCACCATTGCAGTAGTAGAAAATCAGAGCGGTGACTTGGAAGCCAAGAGAAAACATTTCAGTAAGAAGAAGGAGTGGTCATCCCTGTTGAGTAGTGCTAAGAAGTCAAATAAGATGATTAAAAAGTGACCGATTAGATTTGACAGCATAGAAGTCACTGGTGACATTAACAAATACTGTATTTCTTCATTTCTAAAATATTTTGGGGGCCCCTGGGGTGGCTCAGTTAGTCAGTCTTCCAACTCTTGATTTCAGCTCAGGTCATGATCTCACCATTCATGAAATCAAGCCCATGTCTCTGTGCTGTCAGCTTGGGATTTTTTTTTTCTCTGTCTGCCCCTCCTGTGCATGTGCGTGCTCTGTCTCAAAATAAATAAACTTTAAAAAATAATTTAAAAATGTTTTTCATATTTTAACGTCTCTTGATTAGAAGTTCACAAGAGATGATAAGGCACTATTTAATTGGCAGTATTTTTTTCTCTCAATGTTACAATAAATAATAGTTCATCATACAATTTATGGTATCTTGGATTTAATGAAATGTGACTTTGGTAAAATGGGAATAGAAATCTGATTGGAGTGGATTGAGAAGAGATTAATACATGATTATCCTCATTTATATTTCTGTGAAGATGTTTTTACTTCTTAGATGTCATTTTGTGAGCCATTTAAAGCATGGTACCAAATTCAAGCCAGAACCGAATTCCCAAAGTAAAGATGTAACAACATTCTACTGTAGGTTTTTTTAAAACATCAAAGAACTGAACAAGTAGTTGTTACTCTAAGAAACTGGGAGCCAAAAAAAAGTATTATTTTCTGTAGTTTTTTTGAGGGGTGATCTATACCTTCATAGTTAGTTCTCTATTTTTAGCATAGAAGAGCCAAGGAGCAGTGGAATAACATAATACTGAGTTTTCACAGAATAATTGCCAAATATAGTTTTGTTCAACTTATGAAACATCTGTTTTTCTTCTTTAGTGCCACCTTGTTTCTGCATCTAAATCAACCAGAGCTCTCTTACCCAGAATCTTTGAATCAGCAGGAACTTTTCTGATATCTTCACCTACAACTCCTGGGTTCAGGCAAAATTTTATTACAAGACATTCTATATGATGCTCCAGCCACGTTTGATTTACTTTTTTGTGTGAACATTCTGTTTTCTTCTTGATAGATGTTTAGCCTTGCCTTGTGTTCCAGTCTGTTCTTTCAGTACCTTCAGTACCTACCAAACTCCGTTCTCTACCATCCACCACGTTTCTTCTTCCTATCTTCTACATTCGTCTGTTTTTGGTGTCTCCCTCTCCCTCCATTTTTCGTTCCTTTCCTGTATTTCTTGCCTTTTCTATTTGCTGACTCTAGCCATTCTGAGCATTTACTTGTTTACCTAATTTTATCTCAGCAAATTCTTGCCCATTACAAATGTACAGGTATAAGTAAAGCTGAAATAGATAATTCCTGTGCTTAGTAGTAAAGGGTACACAAGGGTACACAGAATTTGTATTCAGTTATGGAAGTGGTTTTTATCTTAGAAAAAAGTAGGACATTTTAAATCATGAGTTGGGTCCTCAGGGTGTCTTATTTTATATTGTGAATTCTGCACATTAAAAAGTGTGATGATAGAATCAATGTATTTCTAATTTTGTAACGTTAGTCAAATCACTTGATATTTCTGTTGCTTTCATATCCTCATCTGAAAAAATAGAGCTTCATCACTATATATACTATATTGCTGCTAGTTTATCTCCAGGGTAAGTGAGACAAATGTATCAAGTAAGCTAGGGAATGCAGTTTGCTACAGATAGAGATTATTCTCTTGGCTTATGCTAGCTATCATGTTTTCCTTGCTCCCTTCCCCTTCCCCTCCCCACCCTCATGTTATTTATCTATCTTGCTCATTTGACTGTGAGCCATTTAAGAACGTAGATTTTCGGGGCGCCTGGGTGGCGCAGTCGGTTAAGCGTCCGACTTCAGCCAGGTCACGATCTCGCGGTCCATGAGTTCGAGCCCCGCGTCGGGCTCTGGGCTGATGGCTCAGAGCCTGGACCCTGTTTCTGATTCTGTGTCTCCCTCTCTCTCTGCCCCTCCCCCGTTCATGCTCTGTCTCTCTCTGTCCCCAAAAAATAAATAAACGTTAAAAAAAATAAATAAATAAAGAACGTAGATTTTCTTATTCATCTCTGTTATCCCTGTTGCTTACCATGGTGTCTGATATAGTAACCAGATATTTGAATGAATATATTTAAGTAAATATTTGAATGGATGGAATAGAACGGAAAGAACTGTGTGGGGCCAATAATGAAACCCTTGGGGAACAAGGTCGGGGGAGAAATGCTTTTGAATAAAGGAGGCTGAAAAGGAATGATTGGTAAGACAACAGCAACAAAAAAGCAAAGCTCAGTGATCAGCCTTAAGGTTAGCTGTTTTAAATGCAGCAAAGAGGTCCAATAGGATAATGACTGAAAAGTGTCCATTGTATTTGCTTATTAGATAACTGGGTCTCATATGGACAACAGTTTCAGTAGAGTGGTGGTGGATGGTAGGATGGGAAGAGGGGTTTGTGTGGAAGGCAGATCATAATGGATTAAGAAGTGAATAGGAATTGAGAAAGCAAATAGGACACGTGTGGATTCCTTTGAAGCAGTTTGGTTAAGAAGAGGAAGAGACATTAAAAGGTTACTGGAGGAGGAATCTAGGATCAAGGAGGGGAGTGTTTTGGTTTTGGATTATTATATTTTCTGTGGGTGACACTTGATATTTGCAGGCCATAGCAAAGAAGCATGAGAAGTTGACAGTAGATATAAGAGTGAGGGGATGGTAGGCAGGAGGCAGACAGAATGAAATAAGCATGCTCAGACAGAGGAGTTAGTTCTAACGAGGAGGAGGTAGGTACCTCTAATAGTAAGACTAGAGGAGATAAAGGAGGAAGAAGTGGGTAGTCTCCATAAATGTCAAAAGTCCCTTGCAGGTCTGTATCAGATCCATTGTGTATGCAAAGATAAGAACTGACATAGGACTTAAAATAAATCTCAGGGAACTCCTAAAATCGAACAAATATGTTGGCTTGCATTTAAGTCCTATTTGTAACCACTCAGTCTTTAATGGTTTTTGTGTCTTTCTAAGAGAAATAGTAGATAGATAATTTCTTGGAGTTGCTGAATGGGACTGAATACCCTATTCAGGTAAAAAAGTCTTTTTAAATAATGTTTCTGTTCCTTTTAGATGCACATCTTAGATTGCTCTAATACTTAAGAATTTAAAAGATATGATTTATAATAAATGTTACTAGTTATCCTATCTTGTTTTCTTAGAGTCTTTGCTCCAGTCTCAGTAGTATATGATATTAGGTATACATGTTAAAGTATACAAACTTTACTGTTAGAGCACTGCTGACTTACCAGTTCTGACTTACCACTAAATCTTGCTCATGTTTTCCTTTTAGTTATTACAAGAACTGTGTACGGTGTTTAATGTAGATTTACCATGCCGTGTGAAGTCTTCCCAATTGGGAATTATCAGCAATAAACAGACGCATACCAGCGCCATAGTGAAGCCACAGTCTAGCTCCTGTTCCTATATCTGCCAGCACTGCCTCGTCCACCTTGGAGACATTGGTGAGCCTTTGGTGTGAAGGAATTGCTAATATATTCATCCTTTTCTTTGGAGTAGTCCTAGAAAGAAGCTCTTTTCCCTCAAACTGAGTGTGTACACACAATTTCGTTTGCCATAAGAGGAAATTATAAATTGTATATTAAAGAATTTACATTGTCTCGGTATTTTGGGATTGGCAAAGGATTTTCAAGGTAGTAACTTTCATATGAAGATGTAAATTTTATTCAGACTTCATGCAGATATAGGCAAATGAATAGCAAACATGTAATCAAAGCTAAAGTTTTCAAAGTGGTGCCGTAATGTCTTTTAAATTAAAAGTCTGTACTCTTGGAATTGCAGGGTTTATAAGTTACTCCTTCTGAAGCTAGATTGTCTTCTTTTCTTCCTATCGTCAGTATATTAAAACCTCATTTTTAATTGTTTCCTTTTTGCAGTTAAATTTGTTTTTCTATTTAATGTAGTTTGTCTGAGAGTGTTATGTAACTTATTCTTGTTCGTCCCTTTAAGGTGACCTAAAAGGGTTGTAAAATAAATTAACTATAGGATTATGTTTCAACTGTCCTCAAATAACAAGGAATGGAGAACATTCCTTTGAGTTCGAAGATTTTAGATATCTAGATGTCATATAAATCACTGACTCCATTTGGGGTCATGTCAAAGTAAGCACCAAGTTCTGCATGGAGACTCAGTGAATAGTGCATTTAGGTTGTTTTTGCTTTTAGTGTATCCTGTGCACACACATACTTAATATTGCAGTAGGTATGAGACATTTTTCAAAGTCACTTTATAAGATATTGAAGAAATACATACTTTTCAGATCATATTGTATAGTGTTTTTTGTTTTGTTTTGTTTTTAAGTGCCATATAACTCACCCCTTCTTGGTGGGCCGGCTCCAGGTCACCAGCATAGTCCATAGGGGGAGCTGGTGATGCATGACACTGGAGGACCTGAAAATGGGGGCTAGGTAAGCTTTACAATTGGTTCCATGCTGAATGTCCCAAATAGGGAAGGCCAGATGGACACTTCACACATAATCCTATAGTTAATTTGTTTTAAAGTATTTTCTGTCTTTAATTATCTTAAATTAATTTTAATGTGTTTATTATCTTTAGAATTGAAATCTGTAGTTGTTTTGAAAATAGTACCCTACTAGTTTTTTTATTCATTGTTTGTTTATAAACTAAAGTTTCTTTTTCCTCTTCTCAGCTCGATACAGAAACCAGACCAGCCAGGCAGAGTCCTACTATAGGCATGCAGCTCAGCTTGTCCCCTCTAATGGTGAGTGGGCCTCTCACAGCAAGTCGTGGTTGACTAGGATACTTGATTCTCTATAGCAGTATGGAAAATAAGGCTCATCTTCAGGTTTTTGAAAGCAAAAGATTTTGGAGTTTTGGTAATAAGTTTTGGAGATTTGGTATTGATTGACTTGGAGTTTTGGTCATATTTTTTCTTTTCATTGTATATTCTATATAAGCAGAAGTGGATTTTTTAAATAAAACTGTTGTTGTCAGTAAACCAGTATAAAAAGAATATCCCCTAATGTGATCTAAAATTGTTTCAATAACTCTGGCTTCCTTAATTATCTCTTAATACCACCATTTCCTTACTAGAAAAATTTTTATTTATCTAAGAGATAGTGCTTATGTCTTTTGATGGCCTCAAAAGCGACATTAGCAGTGATTCTTGTTTGGTAAAATACATCATTCTTGTTAAGCCAAATTGAAATTCTTTTAGATTCTGAAAGGAGCTCCTTTCGAGCAGGGGTGGCAGTTGGGCACACTGTTCGTTTCATTTTGTCTCTGGCTGCTTTCCCACAGCGGTGGCAGACGTGGTAGTTGTGATGGAGTCTCCTAGGCCCACGTGAAGTCTTACCTATGCTTCTAGTGCTCTCTACCCTAATGACGTGCTTTTTAACCTGTACATGCTATGTTCTGTTGTGGGAGTGTGCTGTTTTGAATTATGCCCATTTGTAATGAGTTACTCATGAGATTTACTTTATAAAATACTCCCCATTATTAATTTAAAGGTTTGAAAACTGATCACCTGTATTCTGATAGCAAGACTGTGCATCTTGGGTTACTTTAGCATCTTAACTTTCTCCTCTAGGTCAGCCTTACAATCAGTTGGCTATCTTAGCTTCTTCCAAAGGAGACCATCTGACCACAATTTTCTACTACTGCAGAAGCATCGCTGTGAAGTTCCCGTTCCCAGCTGCCTCCACTAATCTACAAAAAGCACTTTCTAAAGCACTGGAAAGGTAGGGCTGACTTTTCCAAGAGGACTTTGTGTAACCTGGTAGTCTTCACCTGTCAACCTGATAGCGTACAAGAACTGATAGTTACCTGTGCTTTTCTTCCATTTGCCTAATTTCTCAACATGTAGATATGTTTTAATAGTTTTGCATGTAGTCATTGCTGAATTTCAAGCAGTCAGCCTCTGATTTGTTCCCAGTAGAGGAGTACAGGCTGCTGAATTCTCACAACTCCTCTGAGTGTGTTGCAGATAAAAAGTTTCATGCAGAATCTTCTCCTTGTGTATCAGGTGCTCAAATAATGTGTTTTTGCAGACTGAAACCTCTTTTAAGAGGTGTTAGCCATTTTGCTGCTTAAGATTCATGGAAATTTTTCTTCCATTTCAGCCGGGATGAGGTGAAAACCAAATGGAGTGTTTCTGACTTCATCAAGGCCTTTATTAAATTCCACGGTCATGTGTACCTGAGTAAGAGCTTGGAAAAGTTGAGCCCACTTCGAGAGAAATTGGAAGAACAGTTTAAGGTTAGATTTCAAAAATAGAGAATTTTTTTGTCTTGTCTAAATCAGGAAGCATAAGATATTGATGAAGTTGACTCCTAGTTTTTATGTCATTACTTAGCTGTGAACTCTTGGTTAAATGTAAATTTGAAGCATATGGAGTTTTTGCATACAGCATCCCCTCACTTTAAACAGAGATACCATCTATAAAGAAATATAGCAGTGGCGTTTTCACTAAATAGCTGCTGTTTGGCAGAAAGTTACCAAAGTGGGGAGAAAAAACCAACTCCTCCTTCTTCTCAGATCAAGCACCTTTCTCTCTCAGTTTTGAAAGTACTACTTTTGATGGTTTTTATATTCTTAGATATAATTCTGGTACCTACTTTATAATATTTCCATTTTGCAACCCGGGCTCATTATTCTCATTGTGCTTTGATCCATCAGGATTTGTGGTAGTTTGAAGGAAAGGAATGAGAATTTCATTCTTTTATTAATTTGTGTAAGGAAATAAATTAACCTTTGTTATATTTATAAGTATGAAAATGATCTTTTATTAGAATATTGAATTAGCAGTATTAATTCTGTCTTTAATTCATGTATTCAACAAATATTTCACTGCCTGTTAATGTCAGTCACTGTTTTAGTCACTGGGATCAACAGTGAACAAGACAGTCTTAAAGAACATTTTATATTTCTTGGTTGCTTCTGGGTATCTAAGCACTTGGGATGTTGTCTATAACTGCCTTACAGATTTATAAGTAGTATAAAAGTAACATGTCCCAGAGATTGTAAAACTTAGTTAAGAGACATAAATTAGCCAAGTATAGTCAATGTGAAGTAGTTTTACAGATAATCATTTTGCAGTTAACACTTTTTATGTACAAGAGATTGTACTAAATAACTATAATAGAAATAGTTTGTTTTTGAATAATCTTTTAGAGTCTCCTGCTGCTTTCTGCTTCTTTTAGGGGCCTATTTCAACTTTTAGCCCATGATTTACAGAATCAAGTACAAGCAAGGAACAACTAATTTTTATGCCCTAACTAAGCTATTCTGCCTGTACAGAACAAACAAGTCTGAATAGTTTCATTATAAGTGGTCAGATATATGAAGGATTATTTTAAAATAACTTCTCTTTGTCTTTTCTGAGGTCAGAACTAAAATCATTAATCCTAAAAAGATATCTATAGGGGGTTGCTAAGGATTCTGTCTTTGAAGAGCTTAAAAGTCAGGTTGACAGTCGTCTTCCTTGGATGGTTTAGGTACAGTTCTGTAAACTAGCAGGGGATTGGATCCAATGACCTGTTGAGATTGCTCCTGGCTCTGTTTCTGTGAAATAGGGATTGGGGGGAACCTACCTTAATTAGGTCCTCTCTATATGGAAGTTACTCTGGTCTAGAGTCTAGAGTTCAAACATTAATATTGAAATATATCTTTCCATATATAAAGTATGGGGGGTTATGTGGACAATTCCTAAAAGATGCTTTGAAGTATCATTCCAACACTCTAAAGTTAAACATAGTATGAGGCAGATCTATTTTTAACTTTACTCATTACTGAAATACCAGAAGAACATTGTTGGAGTGAAATTCTAGCACAGTTGAGTAAATATTCAAAAGTGTTTCTAAAGCATATGTAGATAATTAGTGTCATCTACATGTAAACTTCAGCATATCTAACTAGTAATCTTTAGCTACTAAGCAGAAATGTTTACCAAATTGAGGTGTATTAAAAGATTTAAGGCCTGTGATTTAGGAAATGAGATGCAAGCCTTTTTATATATGTTAAATACGTGCTGTTTTTTTCATGGTACTGAGTTCAGTAAACTCCACAACTGCTATTGAAGGTGCCTTTGAGTAACAGTGTGTCCGTTCCAATCTGATTTTGTTCCTAGTGAGGCCCTCTGCTTCCTACAATACAATCTAAATTTTATGAAAATATAACTACATAATTACACTTTTACTTCTAAAGATGTGAATTATTCCTTCACCAAGTACTTACTGAGTACCTACTGTGAACCATATACTTCTCTAGGCTTTTAGAGGTGGAGGGGAGAGCAAGACACAGTCTGTGCCTTCGTGAAATTTTACATTCTCATTTGCTAGTACTTAGGATGGACTCACATGCATTAATTCTTCTGTGCATACACTAGAAAATCCTTTAAAGGGCTGTGATTGTCTTCTATAGGACATTGCTGCCTAAAATAAAATGCCAGTGGATTAATAGATAGGTTGTTCTGTTTTACTCATAAGAAAAAATGCTTTTTGAAAAATACAAATTAATATTCTCATTTTTTGCCAATATTATATGTTTATATAAATGGTCAATTTATCTAAAAGGTTAGATATAGAGACTGAAGGAGAAGTTTTATGGGAGAATTCAGAAGAAGAGATAGGATTTGGGGACATTTTAAAGAAAGGAAAAATGCTTGATGCCTTTGAAAAAGGAATGAGCATTCTCCATGTATATACTGACATTGTAGGTGGCAAGGAAGCTGAGAGAGTAGCTGAAGTGGAATTGAATGGTATTTTCCTGCCGTGATAATGGGAGAGATCTTGCTAATAGGATCCTAAAACTTACTCTGGATGTTTCAGTTTCTTTGTGTAAATAGAAAAAAAACTCAGAAGTTGCTGGACAAAGGCAGTTCTAAATTTCTGAGATGGTAGGCTCTCTTGTCACTGCTTGTAGAATCATCAGTAAGATTGTCTGTTTCCCACTATAAGGCTAGTGACAGTGAGAAGGAGGGAGGTTGGCTGTAGCTAAAGTGTAGGGTGAAGCCAAGATATCATCACTTGTAGCTGTCAGCTTTGTTAGGAACTTGTGTTTGGAAAATATTTTCTATGGGAGTAATCTAAAATTACTGCAGATATTAAGGTAGAAGGGTGAGGCTACTGGCTGAGAGCATGTAGTGAATTCTTGTAATAACCTGGTTTAGCAGGTTGCTATAAACACTAGTTACTAAGGGAAAGGAATTTGATGATGAAGATCATACATGTACTTTTCTAATAGGGAAACATGTCAGTGTTACAATTTGTAGAAGGGCCTGTACCACATTATTAATTGTTTTAGTATATCATTTACCCTGTGTTCCAATATTGTTGCTCTGTACCTCATTTATAAATAAGTGTCTTTAAATGCGTCAAGCCTTTGAGTAAATTTTATGACAAATTTTGGAAGTCATACTTTGTGTACCAAAAGTTCAAAAACATTGTTTAGTCTTCTGGTTTGAAATTTTTCTTTTTTACTGTGTACATCTACTTTCTAGTCATTGATTCTAATTTAATATTTTACTATATGTGCATCTCATATAAAACCACTTCTAATGGATTAAGATGTATACTTTTACTGACTGATGCCCAAAACTTTTTTTTGTATCATATTAAAAAATACACGGTTTCTCGGGAAAAAAAAAAAAGTATCGTGAAAAACAGCTGAAAGAACTCTGTGGTGTTGGGGCTCATTCCTTTCAAGAATTCCTTTCAAGGCAAAGAGTCAGCATAAGAGATATCAGACCACATTGGACTTGATGAAAATCCTACAATTAAGAGCTGATTCAAAGGGGCACATGCACCCAGTATTTACAGCAGAGTTATCAATAATAGCCAAATTATGGAAAGAACCCAAATGTCCATCGACTGATGAATGGATAAAGAAGATGTGGGGTGTGTGTGTGTGTGTGTGTGTGTGTGTGTGTGTGTGTACACGCACACAATGGAATATTACTCAGTGATCAAAAAGAATGAAATCTTGATGTTTGCAACAACATGGATAGAACTAGAGTATATTATGCTAGGCGAAATAAATTAGAGAAAGACAAATATCACATGATTTCACTCCTATGTGGAATGTAAGAAACACAACAGATGAACCTAGAGGAATAGAAGGAAAAATAAGATAAAAACAGGGAGGCACATCATAAGAGACAAATACAGAGAACAAACTGAGGGTTACTGGAGGGGAGGTGGGTGGGGGGATGGGCTAAATGGGTGGTGGGCATTAAGGAGGGCATTTGCTGGGATATGAGCACTGGGTGTTATATGTAAGTAATGAATCAATCACTGGGTTCTACTCCTGAAAACCAGTAACTACACTGTATGTTAACTAACTGAATTTAAATGAATGAATGAATGAATGAATGAATGAAGTCATTGACTCATCTGTGACTCTGTTACCCATCTGGTTCTAAATGCAGACTGCCAGTTTAGTTCTTGTGTTGAAGGTGGCTCCTATTCTCGATAATCCGCAGTATTTCTGTCTTACTTTACAGAGGCTGCTGTTCCAAAAAGCTTTCAACTCTCAGCAGTTAGTTCACGTCACTGTCATCAACCTGTTTCAACTTCATCACCTTCGTGACTTTAGCAATGAAACAGAGCAGCATAGTTATAGCCAAGATGAGCAGCTGTGTTGGACACAGTTGCTGGCCCTCTTTAGTGAGTATTAAATTTTTAATTTTAATTCAAATCATTTAATTTTCTGTGCTGTCTTCTTTGGAAAGCATAATCTTAGGCATTTTCATCGTCAGAGTGTTAGCGACAACAAAAATGCCTCCTATATAGGCCTAAACCCTAAGTTCTGTCCTTTTATCTCCTGATACCCTCCCCTCATCAAATATACCTGTAACATTTTTTTAAAGATTTCATTTTTAAGTAATCTCTACACCTAACATGGGGCTCGAACTCACAACCCTGAGATCAAAAGCTGCACACTCCCCCGGCTGAGCCAGCCAGACACCCCTGTAACAGTTTTTAACATGGGGGATAAAAGCCTTTTTAGTAAAAAACTGTGATGGGGCCCCTAGGTGGTTCAGTCGGTTAAACCACCAACTTCAGCTCAGGTCATGATCTCACGGTTTGTGGGTTCGAGCCCCATGTCAGGCTCTGTGCTCATGGCTCAGAGCCTGGAGCCTGCTTCCAATTCTGTGTCTCCCTCTCTGCCCCTCCCCTGCTCCTGCTCTGTCTCTCTGTCTCTCAAAAATAAATGTCAAAAAAAACCAAAACAAAACTGTGAAGTATTCAAGCATTAAGGGGGATACAGCAGAAGTCTCATAATGCTAGTTTAATTTGGACTGGTACATTGTTTCAAATATCTTGTTTTCTGAATACATTTTTTTTCTTTAAGTGTCTTTTCTTGGCATCCTGTGCAAGTGTCCTCTCCAGAACAAGTCTCAGGAGGAGTCCTACAATGCCTATCCCCTTCCTGCAGTCAAGGTCTCCATGGACTGGCTGAGACTCAGACCCAGGGTCTTTCAGGAGGCAGTGGTGGATGAAAGACAGTAGTAAGTGTCTTAGAATTTCATGTTAGTTTGTGTGCTTTGTTTATTTGATATTCATGGATATGTAGAAACCGCCTCTAAAACACAACATCTGAACAATGGAAGACTTTGTGTTTTTCACCCACTCTCTGGAAATTGAACTGAAGACCTCTTTGTATGTTTTTCATTTATTTGTTTGAATTTCTTGTGTGAGGCAAAATCTTAAGGATTTCTGACTCCCTGTGTGTCCCCCCCCTCCCCCCAATTCCTGGCTGCAATCATAGGGAAAAAGCATTTTTCACATTTCAAAATGAAATTGAAGTAAAAACCAGTTTGTTTCTTACCCATTACAGTATGCTCCAATTTTCTGTTTAGAAGTTGAAGAGAAGTGATTTTTTACTTTTTCCATTATTTCCTATACATAAGCTCTTTGGTCCTGCCTTACAGTAACACTGCATTTGAGTTACATTTGCTTGTTTTGAGCATAGAGGATTGGGAGTTATTTTGGCTCTCACCGTTTTCTCTCTAATCTCTACTCAGAATAATTCTGATGGTTCTTAGGAGATTTTGACTTTATGGTAACAAATGAAAACTTTCAGTTTACCTTGGTATTTTAACAATGTGTGGACTTTCTCACATGATAAAGAAAAAGGTGTAGTCATTACTTTGAACAAAGGATGTGATTTGACTATGGTGTACCCCAACCCCGTCACAGATTAAGAGCTAGCAGTGGATTCCACAACTGATAATGTGTGTGACAGCTCTATCAAAACATAATATGTTGTTTCTCTGGTCAGTGTGTTCCCAGTAAGTACCAATTATCAATGTTTAAAACTGGCAAACGATTTTCACTAATTGTTAAATTAGGAGTCTGGGAAATGGCCTGCAGTAGTAGGTCTCTATTGTGCAAATATGACCCTTCTGGTGTATCTTTTACCTAGACAGACATCTTTGAAAATAGGTTTTAGGAAATCATACAGCATTGAAAATGCTGAAGCGAGAGGGGAAAGTAAATAAAGTCTAGGCCCTATAGATAACATTGTCCTGGCTTGTTAGTGTTCTAGTATCTCCATTTTAGACAAAGTCTGAATTGTCTTTTTAATTTACAGCATTTGGCCCTGGCTAATTTCTCTTCTAAATAGTTTCCATCCCCATGAAGAGGATCTTTCAAGTACTAATGGTAAGGGCTAACTTAACTTGATGTTGTTAACATCATTCCCCATCACTGATAGTAGGCTTAAGGCGAGAGAAAAACATGTTTTGTTTTCGTTTAAGTTCAGTAACTCAGAAGGGACTTTCAATGCTGCAGTTATCATGAATAAGTGGATAGAAGTAGAGGTAATGTTCTTCCAGTTCTTTCAGCAGCATATGCTCCTGTTTGAATAGGAGTCCAGAGAGTACAATACCTTTAAATTCTTTCCGGCTTCTTCCCTCCCTCCTCATTTTTACTGTTTTTTTTTTTTTTTTTTTTTTTTTTTAAGAGAATTAATTTGAACAGCGTTACTCTGTTAAAGTAATACCTGCTTATTATAGAACATCTGGGACATACAAACATTAAGTACATAAGTCACCCATGGTTCTCTCTTAGAAAGATACGTTGTATTGTTCATATTATAGTGTATTTTCTTGGGACCTTTTTCTTAAGTGTACATATACATACCTGCCTATGACTGATATCAGATACAGCTTTGTGCCTGCTTTTTAAAGTTAATGTTATATTGTTAGCATTTCCCTTTGCCATTTAAACATTTGAAGTGTGATTTTTTTTTTACTGGCCGCATAGTATTCCATCCTGTGGATATGCCATAATGTATTTAATCACTGTCCATTTGCTGTACAATTTTCCACATTGTAAATAATTCTGCACTGAACAATCTGTGGTTAACTCCTTTCTGATGATCTTACTTCCATCAGATCAGTGCTTCTCAAGCAATTTGCAAATGAATCACCTGGGGTCTTGTTAAAATGCAGTTATGATTCAGTAGGTTTGGGACAATGCCTAACATTCTGCATTTCTTGCAAGCTCCTGGATGATGTCGGTGTTGTTTTTCAATACTTTGAGTAACAAGGAAATAATCTAAACAGTGGGATTACCGATGTGGGGCTATGAATTTTTAAGGCTGCCAGGGAAAAAATAGTCCATTGTATCCATCCCCCTCGGCACTGAGTAGTAGATAAGTATTAGGGGACAACGTCTAGTGCGCAGAGGTAACCTGTTTTTAAATTAAAATGTTTTACAAATCTTGATTTCTACCCCTCTGTAGCTACACCACTTCCAGAGGAGTTTGAGTTACAAGGATTCTTGGCTTTGAGACCTTCTTTCAGGTGGGTGGCAGCTGAAGGAGCTTTATTTTATTATCAGTGGTTATAGTATTAAAATTAGGAATCAGGCTTGGGTGTAGAAGAACCTTTGATCTATCCCAGCTTTGTCTTATTTTCTTAACAACTAAAAGCGAAAGTGTTTTTAATATGAAGTAGATTTGTGTATGTCATGCCTTTAATTGCTCTGTAATGCCAATACTGAGTGCTTTTATAGACTTGGGGGAAGGAAAGGAAAAGAAGAAAATTGCTTCTCCCAAGTGGTATTTATTCACTGGATTTTTTTATACTTTGTTGAAATTAGAGGGGAAATCTCAAAAATGGGAACCAAATGCAAACCAAAGGATATTCCTTGACATTTTTCATATCATTAATAATGACAAAGCAATTTGTTTTTCTAGTCATTTTTGTCTCTTCTTAGAGGAAGAACTTCTTACTCCTTTTCAGGTTGAACTCTTTGGTCTGTGTCCTTGATCCTATCTCTTCCTGCCTCCCCACCTGTTACCCTCTCTCTGTGTTGTAGTTCAGTATCTTTTTATTTAACAGCTGGTTACTTCCTTTTGGCCTGCTAACATTCAGGTGTACCCTGTTCTTTTTAAAAAGTAAAATTGAGGATGTGAGGGCGATCTGGCTGCGACATCTGTCACCCCATTGATCGCCAGGGTTGATTCGGCTGATCTGGCTGGCTAGGCGGGTGTCCCCTTCCTACCTCACCGCTCCATGTGCGTCCCTCCCGAAGCTGCGCGCTCGGTCGAAGAGGACGACCTTCCCCGATAGAGGAGGACCGTTCTTCGGTCAAGGGTATACGAGTAGCTGCGCTCCCCTGCTAAAACCTCCAAACAAGCTCTCAAGGTCCATTTGTAGGAGAACGTAGGGTAGTCAAGCTTCCAAGACTCCAGACACATCCAAATGAGGCGCTGCACGTGAAAAAAAAGAAAAAGAAAAAAAAAAAAAAAAGGTAAAATTGAGGGGCGCCTGGGTGGCGCAGTCGGTTAAGCGTCCGACTTCAGCCAGGTCACGATCTCACGGTCCGTGAGTTCGAGCCCCGCGTCGGGCTCTGGGCTGATGGCTCAGAGCCTGGAGCCTGTTTCCGATTCTGTGTCTCCCTCTCTCTCTGCCCCTCCCCCGTTCATGCTCTGTCTCTTTCTGTCCCAAAAATAAATAAACGTTGAAAAAAAAAAATTTTTTTTAAAGTAAAATTGACAACCCTTTCTTCCTGGGATGTTGCTCTATCTTTCTCTTCGTCATCAAACTTTTTTTTTTAATGTTTATTTTTTATTCTTGAGAGAGAGCACAAGCAGGGGCAAGACAGAAAGATAAGGAGAGAGGGAGAATTCCAGGTAGGCCCTGCACTGTCAGTGCACAGTCCAACACAAGGCTCAAACCCACAAACCATGAGATCATGACCTGAGCCGAAATCAAGACTCGGTCACTTAACCACCTGAGCCACTCAGGCACCCCCATCATCAAACTTCTTAAAAGCATAGTGTGTGAGAACTGTGTGTGAGAACTTTACTGACCCCACCTCACTCCCAGTCATTTCTCAGCCTCATTCAACTTAAACTGTCAGTGTGTTTCTGGTTACCAAACTCCATTGACTTCTTTATAATTTTCATCCTGTGTAATTTTCTCTAGCATTGAGTTTATTAATCCCACTCCTATATGAAGCCTCCTTTTTTCTTAGCTGTGTTTCTTAGTTCAGTCCCTTGTACCACATCACTCAGAATATTATCCTCCAGGGTTCTTCCCTGCCCTTTCCTTCCCATTTTCTATATTCTCCCTGGTGATCAAATCCATCCTTTTGTCTGAAGCATTCATCTCTTGGATAGTAACTAAGCCCAAAAGTTTCAGTGTCTGACTTTTTTTCTGACTCATAGTTTAATAGTCTGATCTCCCTGTGCATTTCAAACTTTAACATGACCCAAAATGAGCTTGTATTTTCCTGTTAGGTCAGCAAAAAAATAATCCTTCTATATTTATCTGTGTGCCATTATCCACCTACATGAACTCTAAAAAAAATCCTTATTTCCATTAATCTTTCTCACCAAGTCTTTGTAATTCTGTGTCTAAAATGCCTTTTAGACCCACCTCCTCCCATTTATTTCCCTATATAGTTCAGGCTTTTATCACCATTAACCTGCAGTATAAAAAGCTTCCTAATCAACCTCCCTACTTAGATTCCCTCTCCTGTAGCTCATTTCTGCCCTGCTTTCACGATTATATTTTTAAAAATACAGACCTGTTGAAGTCCCATTAATAACGCAAAGACTTCAGTTCGCTCATCCCCAATTGTTCCAATATCTTTTTTTTTTTTTTTTTCAACGTTTATTTATTTTTGGGACAGAGAGAGACAGAGCATGAACGGGGGAGGGGCAGAGAGAGAGGGAGACACAGAATCGGAAACAGGCTCCAGGCTCTGAGCCATCAGCTCAGAGCCCGACGCGGGGCTTGAACTCACGGACCGCGAGATCGTGACCTGGCTGAAGTCGGACGCTTAACCGACTGCGCCACCCAGGCGCCCCTCCAATATCTTTTTTAGCTTCATGTCCAAGTGCTTAGTTTCTCAGTGGTATTTTCTGCCACCTGCCCCCAATCCTTAACGTAGTATACGTTGGCTAGGTCCTTTTCTTGAGTAACTTTGTTTTTATTCCTCTGACACATTGTTCATGCCATGCCTAGAGCAGCCCCATTTCCTCTTCTGCCCTTCTCTTACTAGCCTGTAAACACTTAACACACCTGCCAAGGTCCAGCTCAGGTAATAACTTAATCTGTGAAGTCTTTTCAGAGCTTAGCAGAAGGAACTAGCCTTCCTGTTAACTATGCTTATTTGCGTAGTTTTTCTTACAGTACTTATCAGATTGATTTATAATTATGTCTTCCTTAGGGAGATACTGTTTCTCTATCTCATTTTTCTTTGTGTCTTCAGCATCTATCCTGCAGCCTGACAATTCTTAGATACTTAAAAATAATACTGAGTTTAATGAGGAAAAATCTGAAAATCCTTATTTTTTTCAGGTTGATTTACCTTTCTAATGTCAATGAGCTTTTTGCTGTATATATTTTTTGATATAAATACATTTTTCTGATTTAGGGCCACCTAAAGTAGATAGATTAATACTGTTTATTAGAATAGGCATACTCGGAGACCCTTAGCATTACAGTGGTCATTTCAAGCAAATTATATAGAATGCAAGGTAAGTGTTGATGAAAACTTTCGTTCTTACAGTAAAAGTATCTTTTTAAATAAAAGTTGTGACTTATTTTAGCTCAATTAGAAAGTAAAATCTGAGTAAAAATATGCAAATGCATATTGTCTTTTTTGTTTTGCTTCACTATATTTAAAATCTTCGGCAACATACATTCAAAATGCAGTCGATTGAATTTAGTAGCTAGCCTGTGTGGAAAAATCTGAAACCATTGCATTTAAATTAGGTAAATGTGGTTGCCTGGGAAATACCTTTAGAAGTTTAATTTTGTGTAATTTGTGCTTATCTCGATTTTAGGAACTTGGATTTCTCCAAAGGCCACCAGGGTATTACAGGAGACAAAGAAGGTCAGCAACGACAAATACGACAGCAGCGCTTGATCTCTATAGGCAAATGGATTGCTGATAATCAGCCAAGGTATTTCTTATCAGATACACTTACACACCCCACATGTGTTTTAGGCTCTGGTACGATGCTCTTGATTATAAACTCGTAAGCCAGGATGCTGGTAACACATCATCAAATTATGACCCTGTGATCATAAGTATACTCTATTTAATCTCTGTGCTCCCCATTACACTGCCTAGTGTAGAGAAATAAGCATTGTCTCCCTTGTTAATCATGAACTTCTGCTCTCATTTGTAAATATCTGTGTAAATCTAACAAAATTGTATGTTCACAGGGATGGTGATTTGTGTTGACAGGGTCGTGGCGGTCCATTTCAGTCAGGATAGACTAGAGTCAGATAGGTTTCTAGTTCTGCCACTCCCCGAGGTGTGTGTCTTTAGGATCTCCCCAGGTGATTCTAACCTTTCCAAAGTCAGTAACTATTTCAGATTAATTTTTATATGCAGGCTCCTGTCCTACTACTGTAAGCACTTAACTGGTTGCATGCTTGAATGAATTTAATCCCTCTGAGCTCTAGTTTTCACACCTATAAAACAGGAATTACAGATCACTACTTCAAGGGTCTGGTCTAGGGCCTTGTACTTAAGACATGCTCAGTAAATATAGCTGTCGTTACTAGAAAGCATTAAAGGGGCGTGGGAATGTGTGGTGATGCTAAGGGATAATGAGGATTTGAGTTTTTCTGTAACTGCTTTTTATGCTATATAAAAATATTACACTGTAATATCTTGCTGTCTCTAAGTCTTTAGGGCTGGGAATGTACTTACTTGACTGTTGGGTCCATGCACAGTCCCATTGTTATTGTTTTTTAGGTTTATGGTTTTCATATGTGGATTTATTTTTACTTTTTTAGGCTGATTCAGTGTGAAAATGAGGTAGGGAAATTGTTGTTTATCACAGAAATTCCTGAGTTAATACTGGAAGACCCCAGTGAAGCCAAAGAGAACCTCATTCTGCAAGAAACATCCATGATAGAGTCACTGGCTGCGGACGGGAACCCAGGACTGAAATCAGTGCTGTCCACGGGCCGTAATCTAAGCAACAACTGTGACACAGGAGAGAAACCAATGGTCACCTTCAAAGAGAACATTAAGCCGCGCGAAGTGAACAGAGACCAAGGAAGAAGTTTTCCTCCCAAAGAGGTGAGAAGGGACTATAGCAAAGGAATAACTGTAACTAAGAATGATGGAAAGAAGGACAACAACAAGAGGAAAACAGAAACCAAGAAATGCACCTTAGAAAAGTTACAGGAAACAGGAAAGCAGAATGTGGCAGTGCAGGTAAGCTGTATTTGAACTATAACGCAGGTAGAGGAAGGCTCACACAAAAGGCAAGATTTTTCATTTTGTTCCTAAAGCTTGAGAGTTGGCTCTTCTGGAAGCTTGAATGCGGCACAGTAAGGTCATGTAAAGAGCTGTGGTAGGTGGCTACTCCATCAACCTGTAGAAATTGTAATGTGAGTGAAAAAAATCTCAACCTGTCTTGACATTTCTGTCAATCCTTTCAGTTAGGTAGTTTGAAATGACCAGAGCTGTCAGTTCCGCAAAGAATTCTGTTTGCTTTAGAAGGTGTAACTGCCATTTGTTAGTGTTCTATTGGGAAATGTAGGGTCTTGTACAGAGCCAGTAAGTAGGACCAAGAGTATATTAAGGCTTATAGGGTTTTTTTTCAGATTCACTAAAAAAGATAAAATATATTCTTGGAAAAAGATGAGACTTTTTCTTGACATTGATACCTGTCCCAGCCGGTGGCATTGTATCACTTTAGTGTTATCCTGGCTCATGGGAGTTTGTAAAGCAAGAGTTTAAGTCTCTTGCTGGGAAAAGGTAAACACTACTCAGTTATTTGTGACTTTTTCTTAAACCTTTCCAAAGAGGAGATAGAGATGATTTCATGTAAACAAAGATGATCTTTGTTCTGTGCTGGTTTCATTGATACCATTCACGTCTGAACAAATACCTAAATAGCCATGTGATTTGTTAGCATATTGGCAAATGTATTTGTTTGCAGTAGGCACAAGGAACATTACATTATTGAAGGCTGCTTGCAGATATAAACAGTGCCTTCAGCCTGTTTCATCTACAGAGTTTTTTTGAGAAGGAGAGAAATAAGCACATAATAGTTGCATTTTAAGATTAATAGAGAAACAGAGAAAAACAGGGCAGAGATTGAGAAAAGGCATGGGGAGAGGGAGGTGCTGGGGAAAGACCGAGAATAAGCCAGATGAACTGTAGAAAGCTGGAGGACCAGTGTTTGAGGGGTGAGTCTAGTATGTCCTGCCTGCTCTGCCTCCGTTCTCTGCAGCTGCCTCCCAGCAAGGGCCAGTCTGAGCATCCCCTTTCTGGTCTCTCATCCCTCTTAAATCTGCCTCCAGACGATTAAAGAAAGCTTGACAGGAGTCAGTGTATCACCTCTCTTTACCTCATCCTAAGTTCTCTGTAAATGTACCTGTTTTCCTTCATTTTACTCAATTTGAGCAATGCATGTGACATCTTACTCTCTGTAGCTCATGGTGTAGAATGTTGGCCTCTGTTCTTACTGCTGACAGTATCCTTATTCTAAAGGGGTGGTAGCATTGGGGGTGGACGGTGGATGCCTGACTGGTATGCTTGAGGCTGCCCAGATGAAATTAAACTGAGGGCCAAAGCGTCTCTCCTGTGAGTTACTCATCATTATTAATTCATTATCCATGTTTGTTGTCTAATGAATTTGAGTATAAAGGGCCCTGGAGCCCATAATAGGTGGCTTAAGATTATAGGCAAGTTTTTTAACCTGTTGGTATCAGATGTCTCATTTGTCAAACAAATGAGCTCTCAGGTCCTTTCTGTATTTAGTATGTTCATGATTTTATGTAAGCAAAATCATCACACCAATTAAACGAAACCCTTCTATCTTTAATTGACAAATAATTTGTTTTGATTTTTTTCCCCCACTTTTTATTTAGGTATTAGATACCTTCATATGCTTTTTTTTTTTTTTTTTTTTTTTTTGACGTAATGGGGTTTTAAATTCTTTCTTAGAGGTGCTTCTTTGTGATACATTTGAGTTTCAGATTATTATAGATGGTTTTGCTTTTGTTGGTCATAGGTGAAATCCCAGACAGAACTAAGAAAGACTCCAGTGTCTGAAGCCAGGAAAACACCTGTAACTCAAACCCCAAGTCAAGCAAGTAACTCCCAGTTCATCCCCATTCATCACCCTGGAGCCTTCCCTCCTCTTCCTAGCCGGCCAGGTAAATACACATTTTCTACTTAATCTCATCTGTATAGGAGTTTCTGCTCCCTCATTGAATAATTTATACTCTGTCAGAGTTTCATTACTAAACCATAATGTTAAAAGGTAGAAGGAAGTTCTCTTTTCTCTGATGCTTACTAAGTTCTTTTTGAACCATTTCTCTGTAGTATATATACAAATGCATGTTTGTTATCATGAAGGAATTCCTATCACTAAACATAGCATTTAAGAAACCACCTTGAGAATGCTCCACTTGATTCAGTGGATAGAAATAGCAGCCAATACTCTGTATTTAATTCTTGAAATCAAGTTAAAGATTGATGCTTGATCAGTCTTACTTGATGTCTGATTCCTGCCGTTTTTAATTTATTAGAAGACCTCTTCTTCTACCCTACCCCACCTTACCCCCAAATGACTTATTTTTGCCTTTCTTTTGCTAAGTGTCTTTAGAACTAAAGCTGCTATGTTCTTCTATTTTGAAGGGTTCCCGCCCCCAACATATGTTATTCCCCCTCCTGTGGCATTTTCTATGGGCTCAGGTTACACCTTCCCAGCTGGTGTTTCTGTCCCAGGAACCTTTCTTCAGCCTACAGCTCACTCTCCAGCAGGAAACCAGGTGCAAGCTGGGAAACAGTCCCACATTCCTTACAGCCAGCAACGGCCCTCTGGACCAGGGCCAATGAACCAGGGACCTCAACAGCCACAGCCACCTTCCCAGCAACCCCTTACATCTTTACCAGCTCAGCCGACAGCACAGTCCACAAGCCAGTTGCAGGTTCAAGCTCTAGCTCAGCAGCAATCCCCCACAAAAGCCGTGCCGGCTTTGGGGAAAAGCCCTCCTCACCACTCTGGGTTCCAGCAGGTGAGTCACAGTTGTGCGTACCGTCCAGCCAAGATCAGGAGGAGGGGAGACTAGAATGGTCCAGTGGTTGGTTAATTAGAAATACCAAACTTACTTTGGTTAATTAGAAATACCAAAATTACCAAAGCTTACTACTTAAGCTTTCCAGATGCTTCTGCTATGGAAGGATTATGGAGAAGAATACACTCTCTCTGCTGTTTAGGGAAGTTCAGATGTTTCCCTTTCTCCTTTGTAAAGGATAATAGATCTTAACTACTGTTCTTTGCTGCTGCTGCTTGTCAACTTTGTAGAGAAGAACTTTGTATAAATAATTCTCCTATTTGAAAATAAACTACAGGAGGGAAATAGAATCATAATCTTGATGAGGTGTTAAGAAAGCTATGACACCATTCTTAAATATCATCAACCCCACAGTACTTGGGCTGGGAAGGGGGAACACACACACATAGCACACACGCTTTCATTTGTTCATTAAACCTCATAAATAATTGAACTGAAAGAGAAGGTGAGTTCAGTGCCCATCATCCGAGAAAGCTCTGCGTATTGAAAAACATAAAGGGTAAAGGAAACTGAGTTTTGTCAGTTAAGTTTCTCAAGTTCGTTTTGTGATTTCCTGAGTATTGAATGTAACATTGCATTTTATCCTCATCTTGATGACAAGCATCTCTTTTTTAGTATCAACAGGCAGATGCCTCCAAACAGCTGTGGAATCCCCCTCAGGTTCAAGGCCCATTAGGGAAAATCATGCCTGTGAAACAGTCCTACTACCTTCAGCCCCAAGACCCCATAAAACTGTTTGAGCCGTCATTGCAACCTCCTGTAATGCAGCAGCAGCCTCTAGAGAAAAAAATGAAGCCTTTTCCCATGGAGCCATATAACCATAATCCCTCAGAAGTCAAGGTCCCAGAGTTCTACTGGGATTCTTCCTACAGCATGGCTGATAACAGAGCTGTCATGGCCCAGCAAGCAAGTGTGGACCGCAGAGGCAAACGGTCACCAGGAGTCTTCCGTCCAGAGCAGGATCCTGTGCCCAGGATGCCATTTGAGGTGTGTGTCCTTTCCCATCACCAGACACAGCGGACATAGGTGTGGGGCTGCGTATCTTTCGAATTTCTAAAGCAGATGCTTGTAAAGGCCACTCTCCGATTCGTTAGCGCTGCGGCACGCTGCCCGGCACCTGGTGTGGCTCCTGGTCTCCTCCACACACTGGCACAGTCTGTTGGATTCGGAGGAGCGAGGGGCTCTGTCACTGATGTGGACTGTAGTGGTCTGGCAGAGAAATCATGTGCAGAAATCTTGCACGCGGCATATTGGGGAATCGTGAAACAAAGCTCCTCTCAGTTGGGCTGAATCATCTGAGTTTAAAAATAGGTTTACTGCGTATTTAAACAAATTGCTTTCTGAGAGGAACGAAGTCAGCCAGTTATCTTCGATAGTGGAGCTCTCCTTCCTTTCTCTCTTTATTCACAAGAAATGGGTGTGTATGTGTAACTTTTAAAAAGAGCTGTTTCTCTGTTAGCCCAAGATCACACTGATCACCCTGCTACGCATTGTTTTCCTCACTGGCCGCGTTAACCTTTGATGTGCTGCTCCTTGTTTGTCAGTGGTTTTTGCTCCTTTCTACCGTCTTGCTCTTTCACTACCACTGTCCTGTGTCACCTTGCTTGTTTCAGAGCTTTTTCTTTGCGTAGTACCGTCTCCCTGGGATTTTTCTGCTTGACTGTACTTACCTCTGTCCCCCTAACTGTGCTGCTACTCCTTTGTGCTTTTGTCATCCCTTACTACATCTCACTGTGATCCTTTCTGTCACTAGGACCCCAAGGGCTCCCCTCTGCTTCCTCCGGACCTGTTAAAGAGTCTGGCTGCCTTGGAGGAAGAGGAAGAGCTGATTTTTTCTAACCCTCCTGATCTTTACCCAGCTCTGCTGGGCCCTCTCGCCTCTCTTCCTGGACGGAGCCTCTTTGTATGTATTTGACGTAATTCTTGCTCTAACCCCAGCTTCTTTCCTGAGATTTTGTAGTCCTTGGAATAGATGGTTTCTTTTTTTCTGGAGCTTTGAGCTTTCTTTCTTTACAGAATTGTACAATTTATTTCTTCACTGCCAAAGCTAACCTTCAAACGGTAGTAGAATATGGCAAAACCTTTCTGACTCCATGGTTCTAAATCTCCGAGTCCTAGCTTTGTTGTAAGTGTTATTCAGGGCTGTTCATAGGATGTGATGCTGGCAAATTAACTTACTTTGCAGGTGTACTTCCATCTAAACCCAGCAGTTTCAAGGATCGTTTAATCTTGCTCAGGAGCAGTGAGATTTTTCTTCATATAAATATTCTAGATTTTTTAGTGACATTATTGAAGAGTATGTAGCTCTTTTCTGTTTGGTTAACTAAGAGCCCTGACTTCAATTCAGAGTGAGATTCATAAACAGAATGAGTAAAAATGAAGAGAATTCCATTTAGAAACGGCGTGCCATAAATGAGTGAATACAGAGAGAAATAAGTAGGATGACATAAAATAAAGCCTTATGTATTGATTAGTGGTATCTTTTTTTTTTTTTTTTTGATTAGTGGTATCTTTTTAAAACAATCCTCTAGCATTTCAAAGGATGGCCTTGTATATGCTCATTGATGTTTACGTAGCATTCTGCGAAGGTGGGGGAGCATGTAAAAAAATTGGGAAGACGTATGCTAGAAACTTTTTCCCTTTCTCTACTCCATCTTAGCAAAACAGAAAAACAATTCAGAGTTCTACTTTTTTGCTATTTCTTTCCCATAAACATGAGGCCAGAAAACGTTCATAAGGTTAAAATGCATTGGCTTTAGGATTAGGAGAAATAAAAGCTTCACATCTCTCGTGATAGAAGCTGCCATCCCTGGCGCTTGAATTTCGTGAGTGGGCAAAGAGACCGCCACTCTTCCCCCAAGTGAGAGAAATAAGAGATCCCCTAGAAACTGAAGGAGAGCGCAGTGATGGCACCTAGGGGTTTGTGGGAAACCTAACTGCTAAGCTGTTGGCTCCGTGTGTTTGCCTTTCTTGCTGCTTCTCTGCTCGTGCGGCTTGAAGGCCAGGGGGTTGCCTCTCGAACAACTCATTAATGGCTCCCTGGTTCCCGCCATGCTCCCCCTCCCCCCCCCCCCCGCCGCTCCATTCACAACGAAACTGGTGGTGGTGCAAGTGGACATGGAGGGTAGTGTTTTAGGGTTGTTTTCCCCATGTTTACAAAACATATATACAATACTTTCTATATTTAACATTGTTAATGATACAATGTGTGTGACAGTGCCTTGCATGTGGCAGACATTTAATAAATGCTTTGCTGACCTACCGTTCAAGGACAGTGAGCATCAGAGATTCAGCTTTTTTTTTTCTCCTGGTAGTTTTCTTAGAGCCAGTACCTGTAAGCTCAACTTCAGCAACTATTTTAATATATACCACAAATAGCTGTTTAGGAACCATGTTGACAAAACCAGTTGTCAAATAGATTTGAAAGCCTTTAAGTCATTAATGTGAGTGTTTTAAAAATTGGGGGAAAAAGACTGCCAGATCAGTTCAGTGTCTTGTTTTGAGAGTATTTTAAATGCACCTCTTAACAAGGGGATTTGGGAAAGTTCCTGCTAGTAAACACTCAGAACTGCCATTTTCCAGCGTCCCTGGTCCCTGCCAGGATCTCTGTGCTAGATTAGAGGTATTGATCCGGGAGGGTTCTGACTCACCTGTGGCAACTGGCATGTAGCTGGTGTCATGGTAGGAATATGTAATTCACATCTTCTGAGCCCGACACTGTACATGACAGGTAAGTACAAGTATGCTTAACTGGTGGTCCTCTACTCTGGTTGTGTAGGGACTTAAGATTGATACTAAGAAAATGGAGGCCATAATGTAACTACTTTTTTTCTTTCTGGCACTGTGAAGAAATCCTTGTTGGAGAAGCCCTCGGAGCTCATGTCACACTCATCCTCTTTCTTGTCCCTCACCGGATTCTCTCTCAATCAGGTGGGTCAACAGTGAAGGATCCTGCATTGTGCTTTTATTGTAGGCTGGAACTTCCTTTCCCGTTCTATTTCAGTACCCCTATTTTTCTCTTGCTTTCTCTCCCATATATTGCTGCCTTCCAGATTTTTTATCCTCTGTCTCTCTCTCTGATTTGGGTATATGAGATACTTGTTTGTTATAAATTTGAACCCTTTAACTTCTCATTAATATGGAAATCCTTAGGGCTCTGTTGTTCAGCCAAGTGAATTACTTGTACTTTTTAATCTGGGTTGTTTACATAGAGAAAATAAAGGGTGAGGGAAAATGAATTTAACAGGGAAACCAAAAGAAACAAAAGTCTTCAAAAGTTTGTTTTACTAAGAAAAGCTTAAAGTGGGGCACCTGGGTGGCTCAGTCAGTTAAGCGTCTGACTCGATTGTGGCTCAGGTCATGATCTCATGGTACCTGAGTTTGAGTCCCACTTCAGGCTGCAGGCCAACAGCACGGAGCCTGCTTGGGGTTCTCCTTCCCTCTCTCTCTGCCCCTCCCCCACTTGTGTGTGTGCATGCACGTGCGCACACAGGTGCACATGCACACTTTCTCCCTCTGTCAAAATAAACAAGTAAACTTTTTAAAAAAAGAAAAGCTTGGGGCGACTGGGTGGCACAGTCGGTTGGGCATCCGACTTCAGCCAGGTCACGATCTCGCGGTCCGTGAGTTCGAGCCCCGCGTCGGGCTCTGGGCTGATGGCTCAGAGCCTGGAGCCTGTTTCCGATTCTGTGTCTCCCTCTCTCTCTGCCCCTCCCCCGTTCGTGCTCTGTCTCTCTCTGTCCCAAAAATAAATAAACATTGAAAAAAAAAAATTTAAAAAAAGAAAAGCTTAAAGTGTATCAGTCATTCATGAACATGAACATTGCATTTGCTGAAATCTCTTTCCTTGCAGTGAGTTTATAATTTGGTTGTCATTGTCTTTCAGGAAAGATACCCAAATAACAGTATGTTCAATGAGGTATATGGGAAAAACCTGACAACCAGCTCCAAAACAGAACTTAATCCTTCGCTGGCCCCCCAGGAGACATCACTGTACTCCCTCTTTGAAGGGACCCCGTGGTCTCCATCACTTCCTGCCAGTTCAGGTATTGGCTAGTCTTTAAATTACAGACCTTGCATTTCTAATACCCTCAAACTGATGGTGAATCAGTATGATTTTACATTATAAATATATTAGCTGTTCTGTTTTTTAAGTAATTTCTGAACGAAAATAGGAAAAAAGCCTGATGAGCCAGTTCATGAAATAAATGCCACTAAAAAAAGCTTTTTCTTACATCCATAACGAGCAGAGTTGTAAGGGAGAAAAATATGGGTTTTAGCTTAAGGTTTCCAGCTGTTTTTTAGTTTGGTTTGTAGATACTCATTCTTTGTGGGAAAAGTTGAACTTTTTAAAATAGAGGGGTTTTTTAATCCCAAGTTTATACTTGGAGTTTGATTTAATAGTAATTCTTAAGGTTAGGCAATTAGAGAATACCAGTAGATAATTTATCTGAAACAGACATGCCAAAATAGTGCATGCACAAAATTGTCTGCTTGGTTTTGCTTTTTTTGTTTTTCTAAAGCAAGGAGTATGCCTTAAGACGGATTAGTGCATCTGGCAGAGTCCCTTTGGGGGCCCTTATTTTTACCTTTGTCCCAAAGCCCTGTGGTTATTTTTAGTAGAATTTAAGTGATCAGATCTACAGAAAACTCAAGTTCTTGGTATGTTTGTGGAACATCTATTTAATGTCTTATGTTGTTTTATTGTTGGTATTTACTAGATCATTCAACACCAGCCAGCCAGTCTCCCCATTCCTCTAACCCAAGCAGCCTGCCGAGCTCCCCTCCAACACATAACCATAATTCTGTTCCATTCTCCAACTTTGGACCTATTGGGACTCCAGATAACAGGGATAGGAGAACTGCAGATCGGTGGAAAACTGATAAGCCAGGTGAGGTCCAGACTTCTTGCCTAGTGAGAGTGAAGTCACTTACTCTGCCCTTCTCTGGTGTTTGGTGTTTGGCAATGATAGAACATCTTGAATTCTTATCTCTTTGCATCTCTCAGCCATGGGTGGGTTCGGCATTGATTATCTCTCGGCAACATCAGCCTCTGAGAGCAGTTGGCATCAGGCCAGCACTCCAAGTGGCACCTGGACAGGCCACGGCCCCTCCATGGAGGATTCCTCTGCTGTCCTCATGGAAAGCCTAAAGGTGAGTGAGTTTTAGGAAAACAAGAGCCGCGAGAGCTGTTTCTGCTTTTGTTCACGTAAATAGCTAGGCTCATTCCTAAGGCCCTTAGAACTGATTGATCTATAGCACATATCTAGCTAAGTCCTAGAAACATGATCTGCCTTAGAAGATTCTTGAAGAGGAAGTTGTTTTTAATTTGTGAATTCTCTGCTGATAAAGCAGTTATCCTGGGGACAGGGGCGGGGACAGAAACAAAGGTTTTAGTTGCATTCTAAGGTCAAAATTGTGATTCATTTTGGAATGTTTGATTGAAGCCTTTTGTAAACAAGTAAAAGAAGAGTGTCTAATTTTGGAAATGTTTTGTTTGCCTAAAATCTTTATAGTAAATATTCTGTGGTCTCACGTGGCACTGAGTTTTAGTGAAAACTGCTTTCACCTTTTCTGGTTTAAAATCATCTGGTTATAAAAATAACAGGAACTGACTGGTCTTAAAGACAGTCTTAGAACAACTTCTTCTAATGGCTGGATCTTTTTAGGGGGCGGGGATCTTGGGACTTATATGCCTTTATATTTGGCGAGGATTGAAAAACAAATCCCTTTCAGATATCCAGGCATTTGACCTCTGCTGACAAGCTCTGGGCTGTTTTTCAGTCTATCTGGTCCAGTTCCATGATGCATCCTGGACCTTCCGCTCTGGAGCAGCTGTTAATGCAGCAGAAACAGAAACAGCAGCGGGGACAAGGCGCCATGAACCCTCCACACTGAGGCCAGAGTGGCAACCCTGGGAACGAAGGCTCCATAAACCATGGCATGTTGGGTTTGCAGGACTGGCCCGTACAGTCCCCTGCAGGTGGCAGCCCTCTCTTCTGTCTCTTGCTGTCGAGAGGGTGTAAGCGTTCCACCAGCGCGCTGAGTGTGCACGAAATGTCCGCAGTGCAACAAAAAGAAAAAACCATCAGGAACTCTCTGTCCCCCCAGGGCCTTCCGGAGGGAGAGAGGAACTGCTGTTTGTCTTCACTCAGTTACCTGATGTCACCGCCTCTCACCTTCCCTGTCGTGCATGCCCCCAGCCACAAGGGAAGTGAAAGCTGAGAAGGGGAGGCAGGTGGGAGAAGCCGGCGGGAACTTCTCGGTCCTGTTTTCCTCTCTGGGGAATAAAATAGGAATCCATTAATGATTGCTTTGCTGACTGAGAATGTAGTTGAGATTATTCCTGAACATCTTTTATTATTGTTATTACTCTCGGTAGTATAATGTCACACTGAATTCTTCCATACACAACGTGCTTCTTCTAGTCAGTGTGTAGCAAGGAAAAGCCCCGCTCGCTGCTCCTGCGAGAGGTTGGTGGTGACAGGATGAGGGAAACGGACCTCTTCGGCCAGTGGCAGTGCTCCGCGAGGGAGAGTCCAAGGCCTCAACTTTCACTCAGAAGGTTCTGGTGGCCCTCCTCTGGCCTGGAGACTCCGGCAGGAAATGCCCTTCACTCTGTAGGTGCTCGAGCCCCGATCGAGGATGCAGTATGGGTGGTGGTGCTGGGCTGGACTGGCAGATGACTGCTGGAAGATTTTAAATTAATGTTTTTGATTCCTGTACATTTTACCGTAGCGTAGCGAGCAGTCTCACGGAAGGCAGGCTGGTCCATTCGTGGCCTGACACATTTTAATAGGTAGAAGCTTTCAGTGTGGTTATTTTTTGTTCGATTGGTTTTTGTGACCCCATCCTGCTTACCACCCACCTCCTCCTGTCCCTACCTCCATCCCTTTTCTGCCCTGTGCTGTATGCTAGTAATTGTTTCTGTTCCTGATGTGTATGACATCTCGCCGAGAAGCAACAGCATGGGGTCCAGCAGTTGGGGCCCAAAAGACAGTCCAAGGAGGAAGGAAGCAGCGGCGTCTGCGTGCGTGCACCGCAGGCCAGGCCCCGGCCCAGCTGCGTCCCCCCGACCTCCACTGTCAGAGTGAAATTCAAGGCAACATGGACACATGTGCACCATGCACAGAAGAAAACACAACGAAGTCCATTCTGGAAAAGGCGAAAGAAAGGAAAATAAACTTTTATTTGGTATTTATTAGAAGGAAAGAGGACTGAACATTTTCTTGTGTAGAAACAGAAGGACAGCATTTCTGTTAGTTCCTGGAAGAGTAATATTTTAAGGGGAAATTATGGAAACAATCTAAATGTCCAATTGCTGTGCTAGTGGTAGGGTCTGTTTCTGGGAGGTCTCTCGTGTGTGTGTGTGTGTGTGTGTGTGTGTGTGTGTGTGTGTGCGCGCGCGCGCGCGCACCCATCCATCTGCCCATCTGCTCTCCTGGGGGGAAGGGGAGTGTGTGTGAGTGTATGGAGTCAGCGTGGGACTCACGAACTGGAAAACAGCTGCAGAGCAAAGCACATCCAGGAGCCCCGGGTGTCGCTAGAGTCTGGGCAGCCCCAGTGATGAAAGGGGTGAGGTGAATGCTCGTTGCTCTTCAGAGAGTGGTTGGAGCCCCGTAGGCTCACAGTATTGCTCCTTAAGTTTGATGTGGTGTTTGGGGATTTTTGTTTCTGTTATTTGTTGTTTCTGGAAAGGTCTGAAAGGGTGAAGCCCCCCACCCAATGGCAATATGAAACCTTTTGTGCTTCTCCCCAGCTCCTTCCCTGGGTCCACCTCTCTCCCAGTCCCTCCTTGCCCACTACCTTGACCCACTCTGTGTGTTTGAGCTCTGCATTCAGGCAGCTGTAACATTCCAGTGTTCGAGCTGTCCCTGAGTCTCACACCCCAGACGAGCTAGCCAGGTTCACTCTCTCACTCCCAGTCCTGCCCGGGTCCCATCTGCAGCCCCGTTTCTGCATGAGAATTTGGTGTTTGGAATGTTTTCTGATTCTTGGGGCGGGGTTTCTCGCCTAATCATCCTCAACGTGGAGTAATGAGGAGGGAGAGGAGAATCTTCATCAGAAACTGGTTTTGTGTAGTAAACCTTCTCTTCTGTTTTTGTTTTTTTGTTTTGTTTTTTTGTTTTTTGTTTTGGTCTGTCTGTGCAAGACCTGCAGCTGCTGAAATCAGCTTTGCCTTTAATTAAACCATGTTCTCTCCAACCAGATCTGTGTGTACATGGTTTCTTTTCTAACCTAAAAATATCCTACTTAAAAAATAAGTATTTAAACTACGCACAAGTCACCTAGGGCAGAGCGGAGATGGCCAAAGATTGAATATGTTTCAGGGTTATTTTTGCTTTTAGTAGCATTCCAAACCAAAGTGCATTATTATGGAAAGGGGCGGGTAGAAAGAAACTGATGGTCACAGTTCTTTTCTCTGATAAAGATTGGCTTATGCAAAGAAGTTAACAACCCTCCATTTTTATCCCTATTTTTACTGTTAATAAAGCCACAATAACACTGTTTACAAAGCCACACATGCTGTACAAAGGAGAATTCTTGTGGAAAACTCCAGGTCTCCTGGAGAGAGAGGAGTTCTATGTATTTGTGGAATCATTCATCTAACTTAACCCTGAAAAATCAAGCCTTTTGGTTAAATGATAACCAAAATAAAACCATACATAGAATTTTATCATATAAATTAGTACAGTACATACAAAATGTTAACTAACAGGATAGTCCTAACCAGCTGGCTTCCTGAATCTGGCTTCTTTATATCGCTTCAATGTTAGTGGCACATATTCAGTAGTGAACTCTTAATGAGTGTCCCTCTCTGAGAAGGCATGAAGGGATATAACTCTAGTATTGTAATTCTCTGTGGAATTGAAAATTGTATTCCTTGGGAAGCAGTGAGACTTGTAATAAAGAAAATGTGTAAAAAAAAGAAAAAAAAAAGAAAAGAAAATGTGTACCATCTAAATTACCTGTAAACTTACCTCGGGCTCTAGGAATCTGACTACAGTGGTATAGGAATAGGGGTAGTTGTACGTAGGCCTTGGGCCTGCACTCTGAGTCTTGTGTTTGCAAGTTTTTTATTGAGGTATCACATACAGAAGTGCACCAACAGCAAGTGTACAATTCAGTGAACTTTTACAAAGTGAACACATCTGGGTAGTCAGCACTCCAAGCAAGAAACATTATGAACACCCTAGAAGACCCCCCCACACACACACACACACACCTCATACCCTTCCAGACATTTCTACCCACTCTACCCCAGCCCACCCCCCACCCCTGGGTTATCATCATGGTAAGTTCTCACATCATTGTCTAATGGGTTAAATTTTCAGTGGGAAAAGTAGATTAGTTAACACTTCCATACAGTAATGTCTCAGTTCAGTGTTCTATGGAGGCATGCTAAACTTTGCAAACTGTAGTTCCTTTTCTGCAACTTTGTAGGTTATAGAACATCCTAGACTCCTCTAGGAGAGCTTTCCATGTCCGTAGTTGCGTGTTCTTCAACAAAAGCTTTGGGGAAAATGCCAATCTTCCCTTTGCACTCCCCTTCCAGCCAGTCTTCATTCACTGATAAAAGGAAACGTATACATCGATTTCTTTCTTTTTAAAAAAACTTTTTTTTTAATGTTTATTATTGAGAGAGAGAGAGAGCATGAGCAAGGGAGGGGCAGAGACAGACAGAATCCGAAGCAGGCTTCAGGCTCTGAGCTGTCAGCACAGAGCTGGACGCGGGGCTCGAACTCACAGACCAGAAGATCATGACCTGAGCCAAAGTCAGTCCCTCAACCAACTGAGCCACCTAGTCACCCCCGTATGCATCGATTTCTGAAACCAGTACAGGAAAATTACCTTCTCTGGATATGCTACCCAGATCAAGAAGTCTGTATTAGTGATTTAAGGGAGGCGTGAACATAGGACTTCACCATCTTATTGGTTTCTGCCTTAGGATAATTGAGCAGTCAAATGCAGAAGAATCCATTAGATTTTTCAAAAAGTTGTCAGAAAAATTAGATGAAAAAAGTTGAACAATAATCTTGAGATGCAATTTTTCTTTAAATAAGGGAAGAGTTTTGTCCAATCCCTGTTGGGAATCTTTATGTCCCTGTCCATAGAAAGGGACGTCCCATAAATTAAATAGTTGACCTTTGAACAATAACAAGTTTGAACTATGAGAGTCCACTTATACACAGATATTTTGATAGATAAGTACACTGCTGTAAATGTATTTTCCTTATGATTTTCTTAACACTTTTTCTAGCTTTATTGTAAGAATACAGTCTATACTACATATATAAAATGTATGTTTACCAACCGTTTATGCTATCGTTAAGGCTTCTGGTCAACAGCAGACTATTGGCAATTAACCTTTTGGAGAGTCAAAAGTTCTACTCAGATTTTTGATTGCGCCTGGGGGGGGGGGTGCGTGTTGGCACCTCTAACCCTGCATTGTTCAAGGGTCAAATGTTTATTAATAATGAAAGTCCACTAGTGAATGATCAAAGAATTGAGTTAGAGCCAGTCATGAGTTTAGTCCATGTTTATAAAACATACGGATCTTAATGGCTCCAGTTTTGAGCCTTTAGTAAGTTACAGGCACTGTTCTAGATACACACGCACACACACTCAGACTTCATAATAACTCCATTGTAGATATTATCCAGGAAAGGAGACCTGGAGAGATTAATAGCTTGTTCGGGGTTAATTCTGCCAATAAATACCAGGCATCTTAGGTTTGACCTACTCCAAAGCCCATCTACTAGAACATGAAACTAGTTCAGAAGTTCATCTTTGGATGTAAGACATCTAGATCAGATGCTGTGTGTATCCTGTCCCCAGAAACTCTAATTAATGTGGGGTGTGGCTGAGCATCAGTTTTTTTCTAAAGTTCCCCTCAGGTAATTCTAATTGCAAACCACTGCCTTGATCCTTTGCACTTAGTACGTGAGTGACTGAAGGACTAGAGTATTTGCTTGTCTTGGATCCTAGGAGGATACTAGAAATCTCAGGGGTGCCTGGCTGGCTCAGTCAGTAGAGCATACGACTCTTGATCTCGGGTTTGTGAGTTTGAGTCTCGCGTTGAGTGTAGAGATTACTTAAAATCTTAGGGTTAAAAAAAAAAAAAAAAAAAAGCCAAATCTCAGGGCCCACCCAAAACCTGATCGAATCCATTTTAACAAGATTCCCAGGTGGTTCATATTAAAATTTGAGAAACGTTGTGAATGAAGCCATTTCATAACTGTTGAATATAATTGAACTCACCCTCAACCCCACTGTAAATCCACTGTTTATGCTGAATTGTTTCCTCTTTGAGTGGTCTGATAAAGTTTCAAACTGTTTTGTGGGTACGTAACTGAATTAAACCAGCTTTGATTTACAATGTCACAATAAGGAATATGCCACCACTTTTTTTGTCAGCCTATCTACCCAGAAGGTTTTTCTGTGTGTTCTCTAGTTTTTTTCTCCTCCTTACCCCATCCCCCACCAAACAACAACAAAAACTGGACAAAGTAGCTAGTTGGTTGATACTGACATTTAAAAAATGGTGCTGGAATGGGGGGGGGGTGCCTGGGTGGCTCAATCAGTTAAGCGTCAGACTTCAGGTCAGATCATGATCTCATGGTTCGTGAGTTCGAACCCTGCTTCGGGCTCTCAACTGTCAGCACAGAGCCACCTTCAGATCCTCTGTCCCCCCTCTCTCTACCCTTCCCTGGCTTGTTCTTTCTCGCTTTCTCAAATAAACTTTTAAAAAATTGTGCTGGGAGTTACTAAGCCCTATTCTCCCCTGTTGGAAGATCTGCACTGTCAGTGTCCCGTTTCTTTTATTACTCCTATTTTGAGCTAGTTGCCATACAATTGTATATTCACTACCCATTAACTTTAAAATCTCATTTCTTAAATCTTTTGGATTTTTCCGTTATAATTGGTAATAGTATTTGGTTTCACTACTCTGCATTGCTAATGCAGATTTCTGGTTTTTGAACAAAGCTTTTGATGGGACTCTTACACCTTTCAAGGTAGAGAAATAAGATTATGTCAAACCATGAGTTAGAAAAGGGCTTCTCATGGTCAGTAGACCAGCATTACACTGGAAGCTTCTTAGAAATTCAAAATTGTGGGCCCCAGCCCAGACCTGAATCAGAATCTCTAGTTGCTGGGCCAAGGAATTGTATTTAACAAACTTTCAAGGGTGTTTTGGCATACTGAAGTTTGTGAAGCACTAAGTTAGAATTCTCCACTCACACTGTTTCAATTTGTAGTGTGTTTGATTGCTAACAGAATCAGGAAAATCACCAGACACAAAGCAATGCCAAATAGCTTCTTTTGAGGCAAGATTTACCCCCTTCTTTCCTCCTCCTCCTTCAAAAAATACATCAATTCAAAGAACTATGGTTTGCAGAAAAGTATCCTTAGGGCTTGCTGCAAAGACAAAATGATCCGAGCCACCTTCCAATTTGTTAACTCTGGGAATGAGAATACATGTCTTCCAAAACATAGCCATCTTTAATAAGAAGAATGTTAGCTAAGTCTGCCATTTGTTGCTTCCCTGCCCGATGGAGCAACAGATAGAAAGGTGGAACATTCCATTTTGCTCCCTCCAACTGAAAACTAGGAAGGATATTGGAAGCACTGGCTAAAGTTTGGTTTGAAGATGGTTAATACTTCCCTCTTCCCTTGAATTTATTTCTGCCAACACAGAAATTAGTTTCTGTCAACCAGGAGTACTACTTACCCATTGATATAACCTGGATTATGTCCCCTTCCTGAAACTCCAGGTCTTCTGGCTGGGTAGCCTCGTAACTGAAGAGTGCTACCACTTGGCCTCCTTCCTTAAGCTGAGGTTCTGTTGTCTGGTTATTAGCTTCAGATTTTTCACTTTCCTTGTGTTCGTCAGGAAAGCCTTGGTCACCCTGAAATAATAAAAGGCCAGTGAACATTGACCATCGCTAAAGGAATCAGGGAAATGTCAGTGTAGCACCTGGGATATAAACTTATAAAGGCAAATTTGTGATCAGTCCCTAGCATAGACCTAACATGCATTTTATGAACACTGGATGGTCAGATAAATGAACCCAAAAGGTCTGCAGGAACCTATACAATCTTAAAATCTTCAGAAACCTTACAGTAATTCTGGAAAAGAGTAGGGTACTACTCTGCAGATGGAAAAACAGAGATTGAGTCACAAGTGACAGAACCAAAAGTCAAACCTGGGTGTCTGACTCTGAATCCAATACCCTCTCCCCAGCACCCACAACACTTTGTTAGAAATGTATATTTCTGGTCCTGTCGCAAACCTATCGTTAAATCAGAAACTCCTGGAATTGTGGGGCCCAGCAATCTGCATTTAAACAAGCCCTCTAGGTAATTCTCACGCTTGATAAAGTTTGAGAATCCCTGCAGAGCTTCTTCCCAAAGCCATGAAAAAGGCTTTGCTTTCTGGTCTATGTAGCTACACATCCTAGTCACCATTATGGTCATTTTGAGCCACAAATGTTGAAAAGAAGAGGGGTGTAGTTTCTAAAGAAATGAATCAGAATCAAACAAATCCACATTAGAAACCCTGCTAGGGTAAATGCTGTGCCAACCCTTCAAAGATCTCACTTCCTAACATTGCCTGTTCCAGCCTTGGCAGATCCCTTTTACAGAAAGGCAGTACAGTAAGGTAGAAATGGCCCTACGGAGTCCCAAGGCCTGGGTTTGTATCCTGGCTCCACTGCTTTCCCGCTGTGTGTCCCTGAGCAGGCAGTGTAACCTCTCTGAACTTCAGTTTCCTTACCTGAAATTGAGGCTAGAGGACTGAAGCAACAGGATGTAGAATAGAAATAGCTGGCAGTTACTAAACACTCTGGGAGAGGATTGGTGTGTGTGTGTGTGTGTGTGTGTGTGTGTGTGTGTGTGTGTGTTGGTTAATGGTAAGTGTTCCTGCACAGAGTAGATTTTTAAATGATAGTTCATTTTCCTGCTCTTCTAGTAAGTGAATGAGAACATCCTGACTTGCCACCAACAAGAGTAAGGGGCAGTGATGAAGAACATTCAGCAATGACCTCTGAAGCTGGACTGAGGGCCAGCAAGACTCTGTGCTGGGAATTTGGGGAGGGTTAGCCCCAGACAGCCACTAATGAGACTGGAGCTCTCTTCAAAGGACAAAAATCGACAATAATTAAAAACAAACCTTTGAAGTGGACTAAGCCACATTTAGGGCACAGCTCCTAGGCAGAATCCTTTCAAGACGATACCGAAGGGATTAGTCCCAAGACGGACAATTGAAAACCTAGGATGACCTTTCAAACTTCCAAGGGAACCCCTTGCACCAGCACTCGCCCACCCCTGCCCAGGGTCCCGGCTCCCGGCCTCTCAGCCAGAGGCACCAGCCAGACTACTCCAGTGGCCCTACTTCCTGAAGGCAATTTTCTGAGCTCTTAGATACCACCAACCTGGGGCTAGAGCTACAGGGCTTTCCTCCAGGCACACCTTCTTTGCCTCCTCCTCTCCTACTCATTTTTCTTTCTCAGCAAACGTGCGTCTTTGATTTCAGTGAGAACCTACCAAAGAGACCCTTCCATGACTAAGCAGAAACCCCTGCCCAGCTGTGGGGATGAGGGTGTGGAGGAGGGACTCCCCTCACAGGGCCCCAAGGCCTGGGGGGTCTGGAATAGCTTGGCCAGTGTGGTCATTTCCATAGTCTCAAAATCCAATGGTAGGTGAAAAACAGTAGCTCTCCGAAGGGTTCACACATGACCTGTTGAATTTTGTACTGCCTACTGCTGTAACTGCAGATGCCGCCATCTAAAAATGCTCAAGCAGGAGCTCCTGGGTGGCTCAGGCAGTTAAGCTTCCAACTCTTGATTTTGGCTCAGGTCGTGATCTCACGGTTTAGTGGGTTCAAGCCCCACTTCGGGTTCTGCGCCCTGGCAGCGTGGAGCCTGCTTGGGGTTCTCTCTCCCTCACTCTCTGACCCGCCCCACTTGCGCGCTCTCTGTCTCTATCAAAAAGTAAATAAACTTTAAAAAAAATGCTAAAGCAAGAAACAGGGGAGTCGGGGCTAGTGGGGGCGGCGGCCAGGGGGAGAACTGAAGGTGTCAGAAGGACCATGGCTTTGGTCAGTGGAGACGGGAGTCTCCTTGACTATGTTAGGACTCCCCAGTGTCAGGGCTATGCATGGGGAGCTGAGTACTCAGAGGAAGTCCACTGGCCGGCCAGCCTCACAGAGCCCCCTGCTTTACTCGTATGCCCCAGAATCCTCCATCCCAAGCAGTCATTCATCCTACTTTCTCCCCTGCTCACAACCTCATCCTGGTGCAGCAGCGTGCAAGGCTTTCCGTCATGTGGCCCTGTTGCCTTGCCAACCTGTCTCCCGGCACTCGCCCTGTTGTGTCCAGTAACACCGACCCCCCCCTTCACCCACTGCCGACTCTTAGGGTCTTCCCTCTGCCCTTCCATCTGTATAAGGCGCCCTAACTTCCTCCACCTTGCTAATTGCTATTTACCACTTTAAGGCTAAGCCTCCAGATGATTTCAGCATCATTTTCTCTAGGAAGACTACTGACTTGTCCCACCTTCCTTCAACATGTTTGGGTGAGAGTGCTTCCCGTGTGCTTATAAAACGGTACGCCATTCGTGCGTTTCTGTCAGTTTACTTAACACATGCCCTGCATTTTCCCCCAAGAAGAGCCTATGTCTTACTAGTTTTCTTTTTAAGTCTATTTATTTTGAGAGAGAGAGAGAGAGAGAGAGAGAGAGAGAGTGTGTGTGTGTGTGTGTGTGTACGTGCATGAGCAAGCAGGGGAGGGGCAGAGAGAGGGAGAGAGAGAATCCCAAGCAGGCTCCATGCTGTCACCACAGAGCCCGACCCAGGGCTGTAACTCATGAATCGTGAAATCACGACATGAGCAGAAATCAAGGAGTAAGATGCTTAACCGGCTGAGCCACCCAAGCATCCCATGCCTTAATAGTTTTTATACCTCCAGTGCCTAGGGAGAGCAGAAGTGTTCAGCAAATGTTTGTTGAAGAATAAATAGACAAATGCTGGAAACAATCCAAATATCCACGAAGAGGTGAATCAATAAACAAATTGTAGTATTCATACTATGGAATACCTTTTAGCAATACCATCAGCAATCAAAAGAAAGGGACTATTATGGGGCGTCTGGGTGGCTCAGTGGGTTAAGCATCTGATTTCGGCCCAGGTCATGATTTCATGGTTTGTGGGTTCGAGTCCTGCATTGGATTGCCTGTTGTCAGCACTGAGGTTCGCTTTGGATCCTCTTTCCCCCATCTTCCTCTGCCTCTACCCTACTTGTGTGCATGCGCATGCACTCACACACACACACTCTTTCTGTCAAAAACAAACATTTAAAAACTGGACTATTACAACAAAAAAGTATATATAAAAATGGAAGAGTATATATTGAAATGGGTGATAAAACAAAAATGTATACATACGGTATATATATATTCGTAGGAATATATATGTACTGTACCATCCACTTACATGAAATGACATAAAAGACCAAAAAAAAAAAGTGTGTTGGTACACTGACAGGTATGTTGATGGATGCTTTTCAGGGGCCATGGTTGTGGGAAGGAATTAACATCAACAACAAGAAGAAATGGCAACTTTTCCCTCCTGGAGACAAAGGGACAGTCAAGAGTGTTAACTTGTAGCCACTACTTCTAGCCTCTAACTTTGCTCCTAACTCCAGCTAAGTCTTTTCTAGGCCCTGAGGTCTAGAAAGGTGTCCAAGAATGTAGGCAGGCCCTGGAGTCAAACCACCCACCGAGCCCTTGCTCCTCTACTGATGGGCGGTACACTTGGTCAAGGTTACCTCTCTTTGCCTTGTCTCCTCCATTATAAGATGGGATGATGGTTCCTCCGAGAGTTTCGGGGACTGTAAGGATGGATACGCAGCGTGCACTTAGCACACCGTATGGCACGTGGTTAGTTCCTAATAGAAGCTTCCTATTAGTAGGACTTTTATCCAAGTCCTCTCTCTGTGAACTAAATGCTCTCTATTACCTTCCAGCCTCAAGTGCTCTTCCCGTGGAAACTTGAAGTGGAGAATGGCTAGGAGCTCAGCCTCAGTTAGGATTTTATTCCCACCTTGCTTGAGAGTGATGTGCCTAAACGTTGGCTCATTTACAGGTGCTGGCAGAGAGGACTGAGAGGCTTCCTGGGCATTCTTGGGCCTGCTCTTCTCCCGTAGGGACCCCTCTCCTGGCTGCATCTGGGGCCCCTAGCCCCAGGTGAAAGGGAGGCAGAGGTGTTAGCCACCCTAACCTCAACACCAGGCACAGTGCCCGGCTCACCGAAGCGCTCGGTAAGTGTCGGAATGTGGACTGTCCTTGAGGAAGTGGCCCGGTACAGACATGACCTCAGGTGCCCTTGGGCTCGCCGCACTCACCACTGTGTTCTCACACCACACAGTCAGGCTGTAGTTTTTCACCTGGGCCCAGGCAGCCTTCATGTTCTCTTCCGAGAGGGGCACCAGCTCATTGCTGTCCCGAGGCCGGTAGCTGGGGAGACAGGAGTGAGAACCACGTCGGAGAACAGCAGTGCAAATTCTCTTCTCTCCTCCAGGCCCATGCCAGGCCCCCAGCTGCACCCTCTCTGTGAGTGGACCCACCTCAGCCGAGTGTGCTCCGGCAGGAGCTCCAGTTTCTTAGACACCATGTCCCGGACCTGGCTGTAGGGGAGCCCGGGCTGCGTCTCCATGACCACCGTGTACTTGAAGTGCACCTTGAGCGTGTAGGGCATGGGAATGCTGAGCTTTACTTCCTGAGGGGAGAGGAAGCAACGAGAACTCCTGAGCGTCCGAGGCCTGTCCTGAGTGTGCTCGCGGGGAGTACTCGGTGTGGTGGGGAGAGGCCAATAGCTCACCGGCTCGACAGCCGCGGGAGGACTTTCAGAGAGTCCCTAGGCCCCTCTGGCCTGGATGGGAATTCCTCCGGGCCAGAAGATCTGGCCCATGGGCTGAAGGCCAGTAGGAAATGCGTGCACTGGGCGGGGAAGGTTGTCGAGGGGCGCCTAGCCCAAGGATGGCGTGTGGTGTTAGCTCACCCACCCTTCCTTTGGGACTCTTTCTATAATCCAGGGAGACAGGTTTATGGTGGATAGCTTAAGCTTTTTCTTTCTCTAGCATTTGAAATAGTGCAAGGAGAAACGGTTACCTTGGACTCTTCTTTTCCTTTTTGACCTAAATGGAGAAGGTAAGTAAAACAAAAGAAGATGGTGAATGAACACTCTGGGCCAGCCCCTGACTTACACAGAAGGGAACCCTCTTAGAACAGGACACCAGCTTCTTACCTTGAACTCCGGGGTGATGCTTCACCCTAATAAACAGTGGGGGAATCCCACTGCAGGGAAATGGGCAAGACGAAGCCCAAACACACAAATGAACCCAGTCCCTGCCTGCGGGGAGCATACAGGCAAGTGTTGGAGGACCAGCACGTCCCCAGCAATGCATGGGGTTAGCAGGGACCCAAAGTCCAGTTAAACCAGTGGGCTCTGGACTCATGAAAGCAGGGAGTGCAAGATGAGCCAGGGGCCACGAGAAGGAACGTTAGAACCACTTATTTTTACCTTGTCCTTTATTTTTGTGTATGTTTCCTAAGGTGCATAATATATTAATGAAGCAATATGCACATAATTTATATAAGAGAAATCTGCATGAAGATACTCACTAGAAAGAGCACATGATCAAAACCACTGATCTCAAACCCAGCTAACCACTAGAATTCCTTGGAAGGTTTTTTTTTTTTTCTGGAAATACAGATTTTCAGGTCCAATTCCAGGCCTAAAAAATCAGAATCCAAGGCCTAGGAATCTATATTCATAAAATCTTTCTAGGTTAATATGTGATCCTTGGGGCGCCTGGGTGGCTCAGTTGGCTAAGCGTCCAACTTCGGCTTAGGTCATGATTTCATGGTTTGTGAGTTCGAGTCCCACGTGGGGCTCTGTGCTGACAGCTCAGAGCCTGGAGCTATTTTGGATTCTTGGTCTCCCTCACTCGCTGCCCCTCCCCCACTCACACTCGCTCACATGCTCTCTCTCTCTCAAAAATAAACATTAAAAAAAACTTAATATGTGATCCTTGTTGGGCCCCTAGACAGAAAAGATAAAAACAAAAAAACTGAGGGTGATCTGAGGGGTAATTAGAGAAATTTTAATACAAAATATACACTATAATATTATGTTAATGTTCAATGTCCTTGACATAATGATTGTGCTGCGCTTATGCAGAAGAGTAGAGCTAATGCTCCAGTGTAGGGTGAAATGCCATGAGTCTGTAACTTCCTTTCAAGCGTCTCGGGGGGGGGGGGGGGAGCGAAGCAAGTACACAGTACAAAACGTTAACAATTGGTGAATTTAGGTGAAAGGTATTCTGGTGTTTATCGTGCTACACTTTTCAACTTTTGATCTGTAGCTTTGACGTTTTTCAAAATAAAGTTGGAAGTGTGGGGAGCACCTGAAGGGGTCCTGGTGATGTGGCGGGCATAACACCCATCCATCCAGGATCTGGACAAACCATCTATTCATGCATCTCTACCAAACCCTTCTCCAGAATGCTTAATGCTTAAACTCTATTAGTGACCAAAAGCTCCTTCCCCAGGCACCACTCTCTATAAATCCGGAGAAGGCCCTTTCAATCTGCCCTTAGCTCTTTGTCTATGCCTCAGGGCTCTGCAAAGCAGTTTCTTTTCCAGATAGACCTTGGACATTTGAAAAAAACCTCTCCATCCCCTTCCAAGGAAATACGTGTAATAACTCCAACCTTCTCTCTTGGGACATGGTTTCAGTACCTAATGACTGAGGAGTCCGGTGACTATTTGAGTTGGACACTCCACTGCCCCCCAGAAACCAGCTACATTTGTCCAAGCCCCATGGGTGTTCTAGGACATCTGTTTGCTATGTTTTGTTTGGGTGGGTGGTGCAGGAGAGAGGGCTCCTGGGGCTATGTGTTCATAAGCTGAGTGGCATGTTGGGAGGGGAAGAAACCAGAATCTCCCAGAAGCCTGGGAGAACAACTCTGTCAGGAAGTAGTCTGGAGCATTCCTGCACCCGGGCCAAGGATGTTGTTCCAAGGACACTAACCTGGTGGCAACTGGGGTCTTCCAGGAGCATCAGAACTGGGAGGAGCTGGGATATCAGAATCTGGGGAGGCTTCCTCCTAGAGGTGACAGAGAGGGTGAGAGCCTTCATTCAGACAAAGTTCTTAGTTAGGAGTGGGACAGGGGGAGGCCAAATGGAAAGGAGCCAGATGTAAATGGCTTCCTAAAAGTTGGAGGGGTGGTAACAGTCAGGGAGACTAAGGAAAGTGCTGGTTAAAGGGGAGGCAGGGTTGGCCTGGTGGAAAAGGTAGAAAGGAGAACCCTGACCCCCTCCTAAGAGACCCTCACTGCCCAACCACATTGGAAGTCCGCTGGACATGAGGGAGGCCCCCGAGTCTTGTGTTAGCTCCCCCTCGCACTCCACATCTTGCTCCTTCAAAGGAGAAGGTCCATTTCTCATTTGTGTGGCATTTAAAACATTTCGAGCCATCTGGGTATAGTAACTCTGACCAGGGAGGGCCAAGCCCACAGAGGACAATCAGTTGCACAGTCTAGAGAGAGACAGGTTCCCCGCTGTCAGACATCTGCACAGTAGACCCAACAAAGACCACTCACCAGGCCTAGCAGAAGGGCAGGCCTTTGAGGAGTGAAGGGGAAAGCTGGCAAGGCCCAATCTCTGATGCCATGAGTTCATGCTCTAAAACAGATTTTTCTTGTTTAATGGGATTTCCCCAGCCAACGCATTGACTGTTCCTCCAGGTGAAGAGAACTTTTCTGGGAAGACCTAACCTTCATATACTACAGGCTTTGGGTCTCAAGTCACCAGTGACCAGGAGGAGAGAGGTGGGTGGGCACAACGGGTCCCACTTAGCACATCTGGGTGTTTTCCTTCCTTCACCCCAGGGTCCAGCTCTGGGCCGCTGGCACCAACCCAAGGTGGACTCGGTACTAGTGAGTAAATAAGGACAGCGCTTTTGTCACACTGCCCTTCCCCCCCTCCACAGAGAGGCCTGTCAGTCGTGGGGCAGAGGTCGGGGGCGGGGGGTGGGGTGGGGTGGAAAACAGATCCGGCCTTGGCACTACATTACCTGGGGCTGCTGCTGAGCATGGATCCGCAGCTCAAGTGGTTCAAGGTAGTTGCAGGGAACGAGCCCCTTCTGTGGTGCAACATCACAAAATCAGAAAGGGGGAAAAGGGTGTGCTCATCGGCACCCATTAGCACCCATACCGCCACAGGGCCCAGAGATGCGGGGGAGGGATGGGTATAAGGGCAAAAGAAGGTAGCTGGTCGGCAAATGAGGTAGCAGACACCTCAGAAATCTCCGCCGTTGGCTGCCAGGATCCCATGGCCAAAGGAACCACCCCGGGTCCTCTGAATACCTGTCCGTTGAACATGACCGTAGCCCAGTTATCATTGCCCTTCTTCAAGACAAAAACGATGTTCCCTGGCATGACCTGCAGCTCTTCTGCGGTCTCAGGCACAAACCCAAACAGCACGCGGTGGGCTTCCCCTTCCAGAGCCCTGCAGGGGTAGACGTGAGATGCTGTCCTCTATCCAGCCTGGACTGCGTCCCGCCCACGGCTCTATGGGACAAGCAACAATGGACATGGGGCCGGGACACATGCTCCAGGCACCCTCGAGCTCCACATCTATTGCCTCTGGGACCCTGAGCAGGACCAGGCAGGAAACTGCATGTGAACCCGCTCCATAACCCTAGAGGCAGTGGGACACAATGAGAGACAAAAGACACCGCGAGACAGCCAGGCATTGCCATCCTTGCCCTCCCTTCCCTTCCGAGAGGGAAGCTTCCCGGGTGTGCTTGGCCAGACCTCTGGTCTGGGCTGGGGTAGACAGGGCTAGTGTGACAAGGGGAGCACGCAAATCAGAGGGCAGGTGAGGGATAGCTGGGTGAGAAAGGGGGGTGGGGAGGAGGGAGGCCAAGTCCCCCGGAGCCACAGCCAGTGGGCCAGGCACACAGCCGGAAGGAAATGAAGAGCAGGAAACCAGCTCCGGGGGGTGGGGAACGTGTAAAGGTGTCCCGAGACCACCCAGTGGTGTGCTAGGCAATGTCACTGTCCCTTTACCATCTCTTCAAGACCTACTTTGCTCTCGGAGGCCCTGGGAGTGCCGTCTGTGCCACTTCGGAATGTGTGACATCGGGACTGGCTTCAGGGCTGTGTGATGTACCTGCTCTGGCTGGTGGCTCCCTCTCGCTCCCCCTCTGTCCCCTTCCCCTCAGCCCTGTTTCCTGCTTCCAAACAGTGGGCTATTTATGTAGGGGAGACAGACTCCTCCAGCAGGCAGAGTTAGCAATGAGTTCATCAGCCCCCTCATTTTTATAGTTGCTGTTGTACTTTTTTTCATTAAAAAAAAAAAAAAAACACAAAAACACCTTCTTTATTGCGGAGGGGAGCCGGGCTTGCTTCCTTACTTAGAGGAAATTCCTCAGAAAGCTGTAAGTTGTGTCATTCTTGGCTTCTCATCTTATAGAAGAATGGCTCCTTTTTCTTGAGTCGTTCCTCTTCTCCAGAGACCACGTGCCCATAGGGAGTGAAAAACGCCCACTCGGGAAAGGACACACTACCTAGCTTCCCGCTCTGCTTGCCCGGCTCCCGAAAGCTCTGGCCTCCGCTCTTCTTTTTTTTTTTTTTAATTTTTTTTTTTTTAACGTTTATTTATTTTTGAGACAGAGAGAGAGACAGAGTATGAACGGGGGAGGGGCAGAGAGAGAGGGAGACACAGAATCGGAAGCAGGCTCCAGGCTCCGAGCCATCAGCCCAGAGCCCGACACGGGGCTCGAACTCACAGACCGTGAGATCGTGACCTGAGCTGAAGTCGGACGCTTAACCGACTGAGCCACCCAGGCGCCCCATGGCCTCCGCCTCTTCTGAGGAGGCTGCTGCCGGTGCAAAATGGCTCCCCAACCTTTGGTCAGTGTTCTGGCCCCGGAGGGACATGTTCCACAGACTGCCACCCTTCAGCAATGACCCTCGCTATGTGGGTGGCTGTGCACGTTGACCTGGGGGCACAGGGACACCATGGAGCTGTAGCCAGACCCCTGTGGTCAACCCTACCACAGTCCAAGACTCCCATCCCCCCTACATCACTCCGTTCTAACCCGGAAAACAGAAAGACCCCACGTACTAGGCTAAGTTCTGCAGGATTTAGACCCTGACCCCGGCTTCATCTTCTTTACTCTTTTCATTGCCATCAGTTCAGGCTTGGAGCTCAGATAGTCTGCACACTGATCTAAATCTTACTTACCTGAAGATCTCTGGGGTTTTGGGTCTGGGTGGAGGTTCAGCTGCCTGTGGAACATTCAGGAGAAATGAAGAAGGGAAAGATAGTAAGGGAAGGAGTGGGGGCGAGAACAGACCGTTAATGGTAATTTGAGCCTTCTTCCACACCAGAAAATCAAAGAATGCATTTCTAGCTGGCTCAGAACACTGTCTAGGGAACGGGCACAGTGTACTTTGACTAAACACTGGAAAATCACCCCTCCCCCCCAGCCCCTGGGTACAGTTTCACTAGCACAGCAATTTCTCTTGAGCCAGTCCTGGTTTCTGGAGAATTTTAGCTGTCCCAGAGCAACATGGCGTCACAAGGGGTGCTTTTGACCTTGAGCTCAGTCCCTTTCCTAGGAAAGTTTCCAAAAGCTCTGTTCTATAATTAATGTCTGCTATATCACGTGACACTTGTGGGTATTTAAAATCAACTCAGAACCCACTGACCAGGCAGGAATCTCCTTTCAACGTGTTCCCTGTTCTACACTGAATACCATGGAGCCCACTGATCCGGCTTCTTCCTCCTTGTAGTGTCTCTGCTGCTCTGACGCCCAGGGGGACTCCGCAGGGGCTTTCTTTGTGAAGGAACAAATCAAAGGATCCTGAATCTCTCTAGCCTCCTTTGCTCATCTCACCCTCCAGAGCCCCAGCGTTGGTCACATCCTGGGCTAGCGGCCGTCATTCTGATCCCGGTAGGCTGTCGGTGCTGCCGTCCGAGTGACCAGGTGCGTGAAGCCTGGAGTGTGGCTGTCACGCTCAGAAACCCTTCCCTGTGCTAGTGCTGCCCAGCAGGCTCTAGTGCAACAGCTCAGGTGTTCCTCAGCCCGTCTTCCCTTCTTCGCTTCACAAGGATGGAAATGCCTTCACATTTCTAGACTCCTTACGTCATCCAGTCCGCTCAGAGCCATCTCTCTGAGCCCAGATTGGTCAGAAAAACGGCTCCCTCCCGGCACCCATCACATTCCTGAGGGAATCCCTTGCACATAGGCAGATGCATGGAGCGGGACCAGCCCACAGCCTCAGACCCCAGGCCCCACGGAGTCCCCTACTAGGCCCTGCGTCTGAGAAGAGGCATCGTCAAAAAGCCTTCTATAGCCTGCCTTTCAATTTCCTGAGAGAATAGTCCAGGCTTCAGGAGAGACTGTCAACAGAGGCTCTCTTAGAACACAGAGAAGTGAAGACTGGGATTGGGGGGAAGCAGAAGGGGTGGTTTCTGGGAACTTGAGGTTAAGCCTAAAACTGCCTCATTCTCCTCACAGTCACGGAACCCGTGACCGAGAATGGCCAGGCAGACACCGTCAGCAGCAATGAGAGGTCAGTTGAAGGAGCCCTTAACATGAGGCAGCTCAGCACAAATACTCTCCCCAGCTGGATGTTTCCAGAGAGTCCTGGAGACCCGGATTCAGGGAGAAGGACAGGGCTGCCTCACCTGTGGCTGCAGAGGGGCAAACCCCGAGAAACTGTCTTGATCCACCACAGATGCCACCACCTGCAATCGAGGGAGGAAGGTGTAAGGGCCCTGCCAGCACTGTCTCCCCATGCCTCATGGTTCTCCCCGAGATCCCTCCTATCTCGCACCCTGGATCCATTCTCACCGGAGCCTGGTCCCAGAGTGGATAGTGGCTAAGGGTTGGATTGTTGACCCTCTGAGTGAGAAGTTCCAGAAACTGAAGTAACTAGTGCCTTCCCAGCCCTGCTGACCCAACAGGCTCTCACTCTAGCTCTCTTTTTTCTTAATCGAGGTGAAATTCACATAATATCAAATTGACCATTTATTTTATTATTTATTTATTTATCATTTTGTTAATGTTGATTTATTTTTGACAGAGAGACAGAGAGAGAGAGAGAGACAGAGCACAAGCAAGGCGGGGGAGGGGGCAGAGAGACAGACAGACAGACAGACAGACAGAATCTGAAGCAGGCTCCAGGCTCTGAGCTGTCAGCACAGAGCCCAATGCGGGGCTTGAACTTGTGAATTGTGAGATCATGACCTGAGCCAAAGTCGGACACTCAACTAACTGAGCCACCCGGGTGCCCCTAAAATGAACCATTTTAAAGTGGACAATGCAGTAGCATTTAGGACACTCACAATCCTACACAGCCACCACCTCTACCTAGTTCCCAGTCATTTTCCTCACCCCCCAAAAAACGCCTCACCCACAAAGTGGTTAGTGCACGTCCTTCTCTAGCTAGCACCTGGCAATCACCAAATTGCTTTCTATTTGTGTACGTTTACCCATTCTAGATGGTTCATATAAAGGTAATTATGCAACATGTGGCTTTTGTGTCTGGCTTCTTTCACATAGCGTGATGTTTTCACGTTTCACCCATGCTATGACTTATATCTGTACTTCATTCCTTTCTATGGCTATTCCATTGTATGTCTATATCACATGTTGCCTATGCATTCATCCACCGATGGGCTGAGGGGTGGTTCCACTGACCCAGGCGCCCCTGAGCTCTGCCAGAACCAGCTACCCAGTCGGGCAGCGTTAGCCCTACAGATAAGTCAAAGCCAAGTACAGGTCTGGAAGGGGACTGCTGGCTCACTCGGGCTCATTTCTGAGAGGATTTAAGACCTGGATTTATTTTTTCAACGTTTATTTATTTTTGGGACAGAGAGAGACAGAGCATGAACGGGGGAGGGGCAGAGAGAGAGGGAGACACAGAATCGGAAACAGGCTCCAGGCTCTGAGCCATCAGCCCAGAGCCTGACGCGGGGCTCGAACTCCCAGACCACGAGATCCTGACCTGGCTGAAGTCGGACGCTTAACCGACTGCGCCACCCAGGCGCCCCTAAGACCTGGATTTAAAGGAGCCCCGTTTACAAAGGAGCATAACCATAGAGCTGTAGAAGTGGAGATATCAAGAGCACCAAGCCAAGAGGATGCCATGCTGGTCCGTTTCGCTAACATGTTTCCTCCACATGGACTGAGGGCCTCATAGCTGTGTTTTCTTTCCACTGGCTCAGCCCCCAAGCTGCACACACTGTGACTAAACCTGTGGCTCCCACCCAGGGCCAGGCTGGAAGGGCAGGATGAGAGGAACTTGCAGACAAGAAGCTAGAAGCGTTTGCCCGCCTTTCTACAAGACCTCCACACCAGAAGCAGTCTCTAGCTGCCTGCTAGCCACGGAGAGCACCAGGGGGGTGCCCTCGTCCCAGGAGTCTGTCCCACCCTGGTCCATGCACGGCCCATCCCATAGAAGACCCAGGGGAAGCTGAGTGAGCCTACTTACTGTCGCCTTGCCGAGGTAATCCTTCTTGGCCAGCTGAGCCACTTGCCTCTCGTTTGGTCGAAACAGCCTGCCCACAGGGATCACCACAGGCTCATACAGCTTCTGTTTCTAGAACACAGCATGGTATTTCCTTATCTGGGAAACAGGGGTAATGATGCTTGTCCTGCCTCCCTCACTGAACAGACGCAAAGATTCACTGAGATAACCTCACAAAAGTATTTTTTTTTTTAATGTGTCAAGACTGAACTTGTTATTATTTCGGAGTATCTAAGGTAGGAACAGTTGGTTTCTATATTACCTTACCCCGAGAGGCTGTGCAGACATCTGGCTGTGTTATCTGCTCAGCACGCTTTTTCCCTAGGGGGCTGCCCCTCTCCCACTCTCTGTGGCTCGGGTGGGGCTGTCACTGAGCACAGGGGACGCCACAACCACAAGGTGGCCCAGGGCCCAAGCAAGGCCCATGACAGGTCTCCCTTGGGACTGGTGGCTGCTGACCTGGACAGGCATAGAAAGACTGACTCTAGCCCCCTTCTCCTTTTTTTTAAAAATGTTTTTTAAAAATCTGATTTAAGGGGCGCCTGGGTGGCGCAGTCGGTTAAGCGTCCGACTTCAGCCAGGTCACGATCTCGCGGTCCGTGAGTTCGAGCCCCACATCAGGCTCTGGGCTGATGGCTCAGAGCCTGGAGCCTGTTTCCGATTCTGTGTCTCCCTCTCTCTCTGCCCCTCCCCCGTTCATGCTCTGTCTCTCTCTGTCCCAAAAATAAACGTTGAAAAAAAAATTAAAAAAAAAAAAATCTGATTTAAGACTTGTTTTATCCCAATGTGCTCTGACAAACCATGGATCATTTTCACTATTTGTTCACAGAATCAATGTGTTTTTTTGAGGGCCATCGTGTGCCTGGCTGTGAGGACTCAGAGGTGAGCACAGCCTCTGGCCTCCTGTGCTCGGGTCCAGCCTCCAGTCCCCAGTCCCCCCGGTGCCACCCCAGACCCCCCACGCCCCCAGAGGGTGGCTGGAGGCAGGGCTTTGCCATCCCCAGCTTCAAGCCTCAGCTTCTCAGCGCTCGCTGCCAGGTTCAAGATCCTACATGGAATTGTACCCCAAGATCAGTGTAACCCAGAGCTCAGAGAAGGTAAAAGCGCCACTTCTATGGTTCCTCAATCCACGTGTCCACTGAAACAAATACAAGTCCAGTGAAAATCCTCTTGCCAACCCGCATCATCCATATACTTACCCAAACACATTCCATGGCTTTGTCAATTTTAGAATGTCTCGGCTCAGACTTCATGCTCATGGCCAAAGCTAAATGTTCCTCAGCCTTTTTCCACTCCTCCTTCTTGGCATACATGAAAGCAACATTATATAACACCTAGAAAAGCACAGACCATAACACAAAACTTGAGGCTGCTCCAAATCTAGGCACCAGGGAAGAGCTTGCCTGTAGCTTCTGGAATGTTGCCTGGAGGCATGCCTCCCTTTCTCAGCTTTCCTGGGAATATCTAAAGTATAACACGATCAATCTTGTTACCAAGTCATGCCCGGTCCAAGGACGGTATTAAGAAAACATCACTTAATGCATAAATCCAACATCATGTGCATTGTTCTTTCAACAATCAAATAGGTCAGGAGGGAACAAAAACTGTGGTGTTGCTTTAGTAGCGAGAAGAGTGATGTGCTCAAGGCCCTTTGAAGAGTGGGGAATAAAATCCATGCCTGTGGCCTCCCAGTCCAGCTCCTCCTGCCTCTGAGCCTAGGCTAAAAGGCTGAACAGGTGCAGGGTGGGGAGAGAGAAGGTTCCAGATGCATCATCCTGCACCGGCACCAGCAGAACCCTGCCTGAAACAGAACAAGACTGTGGTATAGTCATCGGGGCAGGAGGAAACTCCATGGACAAAAGTGCAGTAGAGCTGGAAAGAGACTCAGCACAAACCCCAGGCAGTGCTTTACTGGGGACAAGCGGGAACAACACATTCACCAATAATCATGATTTCCCAGGTCTTGAGTTGGGTGGTAGGTTCAAGAGTGTTTGTTTTATTATTATGCCTTCAACTTACGCACACGATCAAATCTTTTTTGGATGCATCAGCAAGATAACACAACCACTTGACGAATGAAGGGAAAAGACCCTCAAGCAAAGTTGGAAAAGCAACAGGAGCGGAAGAAGATCAAGATGGCAACTAATAACGCGGGTTAACTTTCCTTCATTTTCAGGACGGTGCAGCAAGGTCTTACGGTACCCAACACCAGGTGTGGAGAATGAGCTGAGCAGCCAGGAGCTTTGTTCGGATGTCAGTTATAAGAGTCACAGCCTGATGCCCCGGGTGGGGTGGAGGTGGTTTGCCAGAGCCTCAGAGCAGAGGTCTAGTAGAGAGGCATTGGCTGGCCTTCTCTAACATGTAGAGGCAGTGAGGTGCAGGGGTTAAGGGCACAGGTACCCCAGGGCTGTTTCTGGTATGTGGCCTCAGCTTCACTGTAAATTGGTGACAGTGACTGTGGCTGCTTCCAGATTGTTGTAAGAAATAAATGAATAATTCATAGAAAACGCTGCTGCAATTGCTTGGCGCATGGTGGGTATTCGGCAAACATTTACTCCTACTATGACTACTGTTTGCTATGCTATGTTGGGGCTTGATGGAAGGCTGAGCAAAGGAGGGCTTTCATCCCCCCAAGTCCTGCCTGCCTTCTCAGGGAAAGTAACAATGCCTGCATGCTTTAGGGGAAGACCACAGGGCTGAGTTTTGCAGACTGAAGAATCCGGGGATTCTTTGTGTTTATAATCAGAGGCTAAAACTAGGAAGGACTTTGTGCTCCTGGAAATCAGTGCTGCCTGTTGTAGGCAGTGTCACTGTCATTCTCCTTGCCATCATCATCATCATCATCACTGATGCCACCTACTGACCACCCATTGTGGGCCTTTTTGTCTACATTATCTCTAAGCCACACAAACCACCATATGAGCTGTGGCCTCACTTCTGTGTGTCTATAGTTTTTCCACTGCAATTCTCTTGTCCCGACCTCACCACCTCAGATTACACATGACCATGAGCTCCTGGGTGCTAACACCTTGTCTTGTGGACCACTGGACCTCTATGCCCAACACTAGCAGGCACTAGAAACGTATACAAAAATACACGGGTTTATTAATGAATGTGGATGAGGTAAGTACTCAGTTCTTATTTACAGATGATAAGGAGCCTGAGGCTCAGAAATGACATATAACTTAACCTAAAATTGTACAATGAGTAAGTGTTGGACTGGGATTTAATCCCTATCTACCTGATTCCAAAGTCTTTGCTTTTAATGGTAGCCAGCTTCCAAGATGGCCCCCAGTGATTCTCACTTCTTGGCCCTCACCCTGTTGTTTCCTCCCACAACCAATGTAGCTGACGTGTATAGCCAATAGGATAGTATGGAAATGAGGGGGTGTGGCATTTGAAGCTATGTTATAAAAGACATTGACCCTCCATATTAATTTCTCTCGGATCACTTCTTTCTCTGGGGGAAGCCAGCTGCCATGTTCTGACAAGACTCAGACAGTGTGATGGAGAGTTTCATGAGCAAAGACCTGAGGCCTCCTACCGACAAGTAACACTAACTTGCTAGACACATAAATCAGCTTAGAAGGTAGACCCTTGGGCCCCAGTCAAGCTTTCAGATGATGGCAGTGTTGGCCAACATCTTGACTGCAACCTCTTGAGAGCCTCTGAGCCAGAACCATCCAGCTACACCACTCTTGGATTCCTAACCCCAGAAATTGAGAGATAATAAATGGTATTGTTTCAAGCCACTGCATTTCAGAGCAATTTGGTATTCATCAATGGATAACCAATGTACTTCTTCTCTGTAACAGTCTGCCACCCACATCCCCAATTTGGTGCAGGGCCTCATCCAGATAAAAAGAACGGTTTATCAAGGCAAGTACAGACAGGTGGCAGGATTGTGTTTCCATGGAGTTAGTGGCTGGTGTGGGGTGATGGGACCAGGAGTAAGCCCAGAAGCAAAGATTTAGATTCCCTTCCCAGGCTATTTCTCAGCCTCCATGAACTGTTGCCTTTATGCACGCTCAATTGGCCCAGCCCAGTGCTGGCCATGTGCGCAGGAAGCAAGGAGAACTCAAGTCTGCTTAAAAATTCCTGTTTGGCTCTCTGCGACCTTCTTCTTAAGACCTTTTCCCACAACAGGTTTTTGTCACTCCATGACTGGAAAAATCTGAGACTCTTCAAAAACAATGGTGTGATTTTGCAGAAGCCAGGATTCTACCCTGGTGGGAAGAGAAGGGGTGGCCTTATAGGTAGGAAAATGACAGGACGGTCCCCTGTGGCATAAATAAGGGCCTTAGACCCTGAAAACTCCAGCTTCACCTGCAAAGAGGCCCCCACAGCCAGTATTTCCTGCCCCTTGGTCATTTCAGCTCCAATTACAGGGGAACATTCCTCCCATAGAATTCTGCTTTGATGCAATGTTTTATGATCCCTTTTTCTAGAGCCACTTGGTCTTCCAACCCTTTAATCTGTACAAGTGGTTCTCCCTGGGCAGGGATTTGGGGGGGGGGGTGGTGATTAGAAGTGTCTAGAGATATTTTAGGTTGTCCTGTGGCCGGGAGGGGTGGGGCTACTGGGATCTGATGGCTAGAGGCTAGTGTACTGCTAAACCAACCCCAGTGCCCAGGACAGTCCCCTACAACAAAGCAGTACCTGCCCCAAGGCATCAGTAGTGGCCTGGTAGAGAAACCTGACTCTAGAAGCTGGCTGAATGCGAACCAGTTCTCTGAAATTTCCAAAGCCTCGTTTTCCGAGACTATGAGAAGCTGTTAGCCTGCTGCAGGGCAGGATGGGGGCACATGTCCCCAGGGGCCTGGGCAGCTGTGGGCTCTATTATTAGCCCCGAGCAACCCTGAGAACGCTTGGCTTCTCCTAAGAGACTAAAGCAAGGGGATTTTTTTTTTATCAGCAATTCTTCTAAATAAAGATCTGATAAGTGCAGGGATTTTAGGTTTTAAAGCTGGTGCTGTGTATTTGGAGTTTAGGAGGGGGGTGGGGAGGGTTGGTTGGAGAAAGCACACGAGGCTGTGAAGTCAGAGCCAGTGATGTTTCTCCCTTCTGGTAACACAGAAAATAAGTTCTCCTTCTATGGAAACCTTCCCTCAATTTGTGCTTTGAGCTGTTCTTTGAACTAGGGAGGACAGATTTGTGCCAAATTATCCTCACTCTTTCTCTGGGTATCGACCAAGTACATGGGGCCTGAACCATTAATAGCAAAGAGCATGGTCTGTAACTTGGGAACAGAGCGAGGTTACGGCAGGTCCTGCGTGGATAGCAAACCCATGATTTTGGATTTGTTAGTATAATGCTAAGCAAATAGCTTGTCAACCTGAATTATGAAAATTATTATGAATACTTTCACAGGCCAGCACACTCGGGTCCAGCCTCCCTTCAGAGAGCCCAGCAGGCTCATTTCTGCACGGTCCTTTGAGCCTCGTTAAGAAAATGCATGCTTCAATAACCAGAGACTCCAGGATGAGCCTGAAGGTATCAATCTGAGGCTTTTCTTTCTTTCTTCTTCTACTTGTTTTTTTTTAATGTTTATTTTATTTTTGAGAGAGAGACCAGAGTGTGAGTGGGGAGGGGCAGAGAGAGAGGGAGACACAGAATCCGAAGCAGGCTCCGGGCTCTGAGCTGTCAGCACAGAGCCCGACTCAGGGGCCCAAACCTGCAAACCATGAGATCATGACCTGAGCTGAAGTCAGACACTTAACCCACTGAGCACCCCAGATGCCCCAATCCGGGTCTTTTCTTAAGGGGAAATCAGAGTCCCGAGGCACAGGAGGCTTTTCCAAGCCCCCAGGGGTTGCAGCAGATCACTGTGATTCAGAACTGTCTGCTGTCCCTCAGCCACCGTGCACTCCTGCCCAGGCTGGGCCCTTCCTCCTTACCTCACAGGCAAACAGCTTGAACTGCAGCCCCAGAATCTTGTAGTCTATCAGCTGATTCCCTCGAAGCTGAGTCAAGGCCTCTTTAAGGTCTTTGATAGCTGAATCATATCTGCAGGACAGAGAGAGAGGAAACACAGTCCAGGGCACAGAGGAGCAAATGTGGGACAGGATGGGTGTCTGCCTCCTCCCTTTCCTGACCCATCTCACTGGGACAAAAAGGCTTGCTGGTCCCTTTTGGCCTGCTCTAGTTCTTTGCCAAGCCCAAGCCCCAGTATCTCCTAGTGCTCAGTGTGAGTGGCGCCCCGTGGCGTGTGCATGCCAGCACCCCTGTCCCCTCCCCCAATCCACAGTCTCAGGAAGCCACAGGGATTTTCTTCTCTGTTAACTGCATTCAACTCCCACCTTTCTGACAAGCAGCTTGTCACTTCCCAGCAGAGCCCTCACCCTTGCCGCCCCTGAGTCTCCGGAGCTGATTTGGAGCACTGCTCCTTCCCTGCTCCCCACTGTCAGGCCAGGCACAGCTCCCGGGACCCCCTTCCACGGCCCAGGACACTCCTTCCCGGAACTTTCTCCTTCAACTTCTTTGGAGTCCAACTTAGCTCTTGGTTTTGCGGCCTTCTTAGTCTCCCCTGGCCGCTGCCCTCCCCACACACTTTGGAAAACAGAAGAAAGAAACCACCAATTAAGCCAGATGGCTTTTCTAATGCTGCTCCTGGCACTGCCCTTTGGCTTTGTTGCATTGGCTCCGTGCTCACTGGCTCAAGGTGTACGGGCTGCTGTCGCTGGATTTGCGACAGAGAACGGGGCTGACCACATCAACAGTGCCTTCCTCAACGTGGGCAGAACCCAGACCAGGTCTCCTTGGCCTGCCCCTGACCTCCGCAGAGGCCCCAGTGAGAGGCAGCCCTTGCTGGGCGGCAGGGGGTGGGAGGCACGAAAATCAAGCCGTCCCCACCTCCCTAGCGCCCTGGCCCGGCAGGAACAAATTTCCCTGGCTGGTTGTGGGCAACAGAAACAACAGTGCCGAGGCCACTGTCTGACCTGGAGCTGCCGTGAGCAGCTGCCCTTGGAGGCAAGCCTGGAATCAGGTCACGGGCTGGTCGCGTGGTGTAGGGCAGGCACCCCAGGACAGGGGCCACGAGCACAGGACCAGGCCTGTCAGTTCTGCTATTAACCGGGAGACCTTGGCAAAGTACTTCCCTGGTCTCAGGTTCTGCACCAATAATACAAGCACAGGGGCACCTGGGTGGCTCAGTCTGTTAAGCCTCTGACTTCAGCTCAGGTCAAGATCTCACGGTTTATGGGTTTGAGCCCCACATCAGGCTCCATACTCAGAACCTGCTTGGCATTTTCTCTCTCCCCCTCTCTCTCTGCCCCTCCCCCTCTTGTGCTTTCTCTCTCTCTCTCTCAAAATGAATGAATGAACTTAAAAAATTTTTTTAAATACTTAAAAATAACATGAGTGTATTATGTATAGGAGCATATTGTATTCGAGGAGCATATAATAGTAGGAAGTTCCTAGGATGTGTCCAAGATCTAATTTCTGGAGTCAAAACCACTTGGACCTGAGTCCTAGCTCTGCTGCTTATGATCTGGTGATGGAGAGAAAGTTGTTGAATTTGTCTGAATCTGTTTGCTCCTCTTCACAGAGAATAATTGTAGCATGTGCCTCCCAGGGTTGTGGGAACGAAGTGAGATGTGCTCAGGATCATGCTTGGCACACACAGCAGGTTTACTGCTATTATTATTGATTATTTTAGCTCTAAAATTCTGGCAATTAAATTCATACACCCATCCTTTATTATGTGCTGAACACGGTACGGCGAATGAGGTATTATCTGGAGGTAAAACCCCACGGCTGTAGCAGCTGGAACCGTGACCTCAGCGGGCTTCAGGGCTGACCAGGAGGACGGGCTGGCCTGACAGGCCTAAGCTGCGTGAGCCCCGGGTGGCTGGGGCAGAAGCTAGACATTCTGTCACCCTTGCTTTGAAGTAACTCCCACAGCGGCGGCGTCTACAGGAGTAACGGAAGAAAGGCTGCATCTGAGCCAGGAGAATGGCTTTCTCTCTCACATCCTTGCTGTGTTCACACAGATGATGGTAAAACCCGTTAAAAGCGCACAGCCACTCCTTCAGAAGCAGGAAGCACGCCAGGTCGGGTCGTTTCTATGTTCTTGGAGACGGTGCGGAGAAGGGGGAGGGAGCGGGCATCCCTGTTTCTTCTTTCTAAGCTGGGAGACTGGGTGACTGGCTCGGATTCACGGAGCCCGGAAGAAGGGCAGGCGGAAACGCAGGTGTCCTGGTCCTTGGGCACAGGCACTTTCCACCGTGCCAGGCGCCTGTGTGTGAGGTAGCGGAAGGGCCCCAGAGGGCATGCTTGGAGCGCTGCCAGCGTTCACCTGCACCTGTGCCTTCCTCCCTGGCCAGCTGGCCGCGCAGGTGGGTTTCAGCTGTGATGTAACACTGCCTGTGTCTACCTGGTAGTGAACGAGCTCCACACGACCCTCAGAATTCTCCCGTCCAGTCCGACAGTTTCTAAAGATCTGGGTCCCGGTGGGAGGGAGAGAGAAAGAGCTGACAGGTACTCAAAGTGCTCACTTTGTGCTAAAAATGTCTGGTTTCAAAGCATCGCCCTAACTGCCTGCTGCACCCACAGCGTCCCCTAGGAGGCCAAGGTGCTGGCAGCTTCCTGCTGGTTCTGCTGGGCCAGGCAGGAGGGCTTTCTCCACACCCACCCAGAGAGGGCTGCCCTGGACCAAGAGCCCCCACCCCCCCTAGGGAGGGCTCACCAGCACAGCAGCAACCTCGAGTGGCTTTTCACCAGCTCTGAGCCCGAGAGGGTTTACAATCCTCATTTTTGCAGTACTCCCCGTACAGGTTTCTCAGGGACCACTGACGTTCCTGATTGTTCCAGCGCCACCAGTGCCCAGGCAGCCCAGGATCCTGCAGCTCCGGCACTTGTATCCAGAATGCTGGAGAATTCTAGCAAGCTGAAGTCAAAATGTGAGACACCACCATGCAGGGGGAGGCTCTGTTGTGCTGCGTCTGTGGGCCAGCTCCGTCTAAAGTGTTCGCCGTTCCTATCACAGCCCTAAGATTCATAAGGCTCAGGGTCCGAACTGCAACTTAGAGCTCCTTCCCCTTCCAAAGGAGAAGGCTGGGTCGGGCAAGGTCCTGGTCAGCACTGAGGCATCGCCTGCCTTCTCGGACACACACTCAAACTTCGTTCTCTGCAATTTCATAATGATGGGAGAGCCGTGCAACAACACATAAAAGTGGGGGAAACAGAGAAAGAAGCACGCATAACATTGTCACCCTACACAAGTCCCATTGTAATCTGGAAGAATTCCTAACCTAATCATTAAGAAGTCATTTTCCTGGACCCCATGGCACTCATTTCATTTTTTTTTTTTAATATATGAAATTTATTGTCAAATTGGTTTCCGTACAACACCCAGTGCTCATCCCAACAGGTGCCCTCCTCAATACCCATCCATCACCCACCCTCCCCTCCCTCCCACCCCCCCATCAACCCTCAGTTTGTTCTCAGTTTTTAAGAGTCTCTTATGCTTTGGCTCTCTCCCCCTCTAACCTCTTTTTTTTTTCTTTCCCCTCCCCCATGGGTTCCTGTTAACTTTCTCAGGATCCACATAGGAGTGAAAACATATGGTATCTTTCTCTGTATGGCTTATTTCACTTGGCATAACACTCTCCAGTTCCATCCATGTTGCTACAAAGGGCCGTATTTCATTCTTTCTCATTGCCACATAGTAGTACTCCATTGTGTATATAAACCACAATTTCTTGGGGTGCCTGGGTGGCTCAGTCGGTTAAGCCGCCGACTTCAGCCCAGGTCATGATCTCACGGTCTGTGAGTTCGAGCCCCGCGTCGGGCTCTGTGCTGACAGCTCAGAGCCTGGAGCCTATTTCAGATTCTGTGTCTCCCTCTCTCTGACCCTCCCCCATTCATACTCTGTCTCTCTCTGTCTCAAAAATAAATAAACGTTAAAAAAAATAAAAATAAATAAATAAATTTTAAAAAATTAAAAAAAAATAAACCACAATTTCTTTATCCATTCATCAGTTGATGGACATTTAGGCTCTTTCCATAATTTGGCCATTGTTGAGAGTGCTGCTATAAACATTGGGGTACAAGTGCCCCTATGCATCAGTACTCCTGTATCCCTTGGGTAAATTCCTAGCAGTGCTACTGCTGGGTCATAGGGTAGGTCTATTTTTAATTTTTTGAGGAACCTCCACACTGTTTTCCAGAGTGGCTGCACCAGTTTGCATTCCCGCCAACAGTGCAAGAGGGTTCCCGTTTCTCCACATCCTCTCCAGCGTCTATAGTCTCCTGATTTGTTCATTTTGGCCACTCTGACTGGCGTGAGGTGATATCTGAGTGTGGTTCTGATTTGTATTTCCCTGATGAGGAGCGACGTTGAGCATCGTTTCCATGTGCCATGGCACTCATTTCAAAATAATCTCTTCTAGCACTTTCCCCTTTCTGCCTTGTGTTATAGGTATTAGTGTTTGTGACCTCTTTCTCCCTTTTAATTTTTAAGTTCCTTAAAGCAGAGGGTATATTTTGCTTGCTTTTAATTAATTCCATAAACATTTATTAACTACTATATTAGACACGGGAATACAAGAGTGAATAACTAAAGATTTCTCTTGAGAAACTCAGAGTAGTGAAGGAGATAAATATATAAGCCAATATCTGTCACCGATGTTATTTTCTTCTTCTTTTTTTTAAAATTTATTTATTTTCAGAGAGAGAGAGGGAGAGTGAGCAGGGGAGGGGCAGACAGAGGGAGAGAGAGAGAATCCCAAGCAGGCTCTGCACTCTCAGCACAGAGGCCAATGTGGGGCTCGAACCCACAAACCTCAGGATCGTGACCTGAGCCAAAACCAAGAGTCAGTACCCCCACAGATGTTATTTTAAAAGACACAGAAGATGGGCACCTGGGTGGCTCAGTAGTTTAAGCATCCAGCTCTTGGTTTCAGCTCAGGTCATGATCTTACAGTTTGTGGGTCTGAGCTCTGCATCAGGCTCTATGTTGACAGTGGGGAGCCTGCCTGGGATTCTCTCTCCCACCCTACTCTCTCTCTCTCTGTCCCTCCCCCATGTGCTCTCTCTCTCTCTCTCTCAAAAAATAAATAAACTTTAAAAAAGGTAAAAAAACAAAAGAAAAGAAAGAAAGAAAAAAAGAAAAAGGCACAGAAGAGAGTGGTTACTGCCGTAGCGGTCGAGCAGACTCGGGAGAATGCTTGCAGGGTGAGTGAGTGGGTGGGCAGCTGCGGGACCACATAGAAGCAGGCCAAGGAACTTTATCCTTTAGTACTAGAATCCACTGGAAGTTCTTTTTTAAATTATTGATAGAAAGTGAGCACGTGTGCACACAGGCGAGGGGCAGAGGGAGAGAGAAAGAATCTTAAGCAGACCATGCTCTGCGTGGAACCTGACACAGCGCTTGATCTCATGACCCTGACCCTGGGGTCATGACGTGAGCCCAAACCAAGAGTCATAGACCCTCAACTAACTGAGCCACCTAGTTGCCCCCCACTGGAAGTTCTTAAGCAGATCACATTTATTTTTTAAAGATCACTCTGGAATAAGGAAGACAAAACTAAGGGATGAGAAACCAGTTTGGAAGTGATTGCAATAGTCCTGGTGAAAATGAGGGTCTAAACCTGATGGAGAAAAATGGGTGGGTTTAAGAGACATTTGAGAGGTCAACTTGACAAGGTTTGGGAAAAGAGACCTGCTGGGTTGATCCCAGGTAGAGATTTAGCAGCTGGCTGGCTATAGGTGAAGGTCAATGCTGCGGGGAAAGGGTGAGATTCCTAAGGGTTCATGTATAGATTTTTAGGGGACACAGAACCCCCTGAAATTTTATGTAGAAGTATGTATGTGCTTGTATGTGCTTTTCTGGAAAGATAGCCCATAAATTTTGCCATTTAGCAACCATTGCTACTGTGATAAGAAGGGAAAGTGTCAAGGGCAGAGCCTTGGGAGGTGGGGACACTAATGCCTATGGATTGAGCAGAAGAGACAGCTCAGAAGTCCAGAATAGTGGCTTATTTATATTATTTCCTCAGTAGATAGTCGCTGAATTGATGATAAAGTTTGGTAGATTTTTTTTCTCTCAGACTTAACGATTATCAATCACAGACTAATTGAATCCTAGGTCTCATTCCTATATCTTTCTAAGATCTCTGCTTCACTCAAAATCCAAGCCTTTCTGGGACTTCTGGGCATTTTTGTGTAGAAATTTCTTCTGGGAGCCTTCCCTCATTGCCAGTTGTCTCCCGTCATTATAGGCTGTTAGAGCTAATTAAAGGATGGCCTTAGAGTTCGTCTTTTGAGATTTCAGACTAACTGGAGGATTTGTGCTCAAGCCTCCCTGCTCATTCCATCCATCTGGAGAACATAGGGATGAGGGAGTGGGGGGACAAGGAGAATAAGGAGAGAGAATAAGAAAGGAGACAGGCAGGACGCCACCAAAAGGTAAATTCTTGTATATATCTTCCTTCAATCCCAGGCTTTCTCTCCCTAGATAGCCTCTGTGTCTGTGGTTTTTCTTCCCGGAAGACTTCACTCCAGCCCTTCCTCATTCAGGTAATTGTATCTACATCTTGGAAGTCCTCTGAGCCTCTAATGGTTGCCCCTAGCAACAGCTGAGCACAGCAGCTTTCTAGGCTCTGTTTCTGATAGATCCTACGAATCCAAGCCTTTCAAGATTGCCCAGGATGAGAGCCCAGCCGTTCCCCAATACCTGGATGTTCTCTGCTATTTCCCCTTTGCCCTGCCTCACCTGCTGAGGATTCTCTCTCTCTCTCTCTCTCTCTCTCTCTCTCTCTCTCTCTCACACACACACACACACACACACACACACCCGCACCACACCACCCACACCATGACCTCACCATTTTCACTGTTTGAAAGTTCTTCCTTAGGCTGAGCCAAACTCTCCTTCCCTAGAACTTGTGCCCGTTAATAGAACAATGTCTACAAAGGGAGGTTTGCCATCCCCTAAGACATTTTAAATTGATGCTTAGGATATTTTTCCTTTGCTATTTGTATGTCTGTTTTGGGGGTATTGGGAGGTGAGGAGTGAGAATTGAGATTAGCTTTCATTTTGCATTTATGTAGTGTTTTACTAATGATTTTGTGTTGACTGTAAACATAGGAGAAATACAGATAGGCTGATAGAAGACAATAGAAATCCCTAAAATGTCACCAACCCAGAAAGAACTACTGCCAATGTTTTGGCCTATGGCCTTCCAGACCATTCTGTGAAAAGAAATGGAATTGTGTTATACATATTGAACTCTGTGTTTCAAAATTTAACGTCTACTGTGAACTTTTCCCCATATTAATATATAAGCTACTTATTTATCTGTATTAGTATATCCTTATACATATGTTAATAGTTTGCATTGTCATTTTGGGGGCCAAACTGTATTTCATTGAATGGATTAAACCAGGCTTTTGTAAACACATTCTGTGGAAATGCAGGAGGGCCTTGATGTGGTCTCATGATAATCCTCATTGTGTGATAACTCAATACCTCCTCCTAGTAGTAGACCATCACGGGTATTCCCTTGATGGCCAAAATATTTACCACCAGCACTGCCCAAGCTATGACCCATCAGGGATGCTCGTGGGGCATCACACCCGCTGAATGGAAGGCCTACGTTACGTAGGCTCGTTGTGCGCTAAGACACAGCAGATTTATAACTGGGAGGCAGGCTTGTGTTCCCTCCCTCTTTCCCTGGAGAGGGCTTCTGCTTCATGCTGACTTTTGCATAACTGCCAGAGAAGTTCCAGTCACACTTCCCAACAGAAGCTGGAAAGATACTTCACAAACACCAAGCCCAGCAGCACCAAGACCCTGTCTGGGCTTCTCTGCAAACTTCCCCAGCTTGTGCAACACAAACCACTTACTTCTCTATCCGGTAATAGAGCATCCCTCTTTGGAAGTAGGCCACTGCCAAGTGCTTGTCTCGGTTAATGCTTCTGGTGAAGGCCTGTGGAGAGAGAAAGGATCTGTAGGTGGCCAAGGACTCAGGCGGTGAGGAATGTGAGATGAGTCCAAAGGGAGAGGCAAGAAGGGTCGTGAGAATGGTCTGGGTCTTGAAGGTGACAAGAGGTCAGACACCTCTGTAAAATGGAGATGTTAGGGGCGCCTGGGTGGCTCAGTCGGTTAAGCCTCCCACTTCGGGTCAGGTCGTGATCTTGCGGTCGTGAGTTCGAGCCCCCTGTCAGGCTCTGTGCTGACAGCTCAGAGCCTGGAGCCTGCTTCGGATTCTGTGTCTCCCTCTCTCCCTCTGCCCCTCCCCGGCTCATGTTCTATCAATCTCTCTCTCTCAAAAATAAAATTAAAAAACGTCAAAAAAATTTTTTAAAGGAGATGTTAGTATCTGAATTTCAAGATTACTGACTGAATTTCAAGATTACTGACAATTCGATACGAAAACAATTAAAATGCTATTATTTATATATAGTATTATACTTATTTAGTAAATAAAAATTATGAAATCAAAATAATAACAAGAATGCATGTAAAATGCCAGTAGTAAGGACGGAAGCAGGAAACCAAGTAAAGGCCCGGAGAATGAGGGGCCCAGAAGCTGAAGAACTGGAGGACGCATCTATGCAGCCAGAGGAAGGCCCGGCAGTGAGCCAGCAGGGAGGTGACTGGCGACCCCTGCACAGCCTCACCAAGGAGCCCCTCCGCCGAGGCGGGAGCAAACAGCCCCCGCTGGCATAGCTGTGCCCCGACTGGCTGCTGTGCTCAGCCAGCCTCTCCCCCGACAATGTGCTCTTTGTCTCCAGCAGCCCCCGGAATCTGGGGTGCTGTTCACTCAGCCTCTGAGAGGAGGTGGGGACTGAGGTCCTCCCCTGGCCAGATGTGAGGTCCTCGCCTCTGCTCCCATCTGCCCCCTTAGACCTGACATGAACTTGTCAGGCTGTGTGGGTATTCCAAGTGTCTTCACTCCTCTCCCTTTGCCCACTGGCTGGTCACAGTCACGGCCAGGATGGCTGTGGGAGGAGCTCTGGCTCTAAGGGTGCTGGGGAGTCTGTCCATACCCCCTTGCCAAGACTGGCCATAAACGGGGAAAAGAGCATTTAGACGGTGGCGTGAAGCGACACAGAATTGAATAGTTGCTGCCTCACCTAATCCTCATCTTTGTCCCTCTCAGGAAACTGAGAGTCAAGAGTCTACGTGACTTGCCAGAGACCAAGGTCTAGAGAGAGGCAGAGCTGGCAATCGAACCTGGATCTTCTGCTTCCAAATTCCAGTCCCTCTCCAGCTTACCCTGACGAACCCAAAGAGTGATCACTGAGAATGCTCAACCCTACACTAGGGAATATGAAAGAGAAAAAAAAAAACATTTGAAAAAGATGCCAGGACACCCACAGCATGCCCTCGGCAGACATCATTCATCAATCACAGTATGATTTCCTTCTGGCAGCCTCAGAAGCTCCCCAAAAAGTGGAAGATTAATGAAAATTGTCACTTGAGAGGAAATCTATGTTTCTTAAGTCCCTCCTCTTGATCGCAAGGCTGGCAAAGCTCAGGCACACGAAGGGGCTTTTTAACCGGGTGTGAAGCAGTGAGGTGGAGATCTTGTGGCCAGCAGGAGTTCAGAGAAGGAAACAAAACCAGGAGAGTCTTCATAAAGGTGTTAAAGAATGACTCCAGAGCGATTTGAATTTAATAGACGGACAAGAAAGGAGAGCAAAACCCACACCGAGTGGTTCCCAGCCCAGAGCCCAATAGAACCACCTGGGGAGCTTTTAAAAACTAAAGCTGTGCAGGCCCCTCCCCAGGCCAATTCAATCAAGATCCCTGGGGGTGGGGCCTGTGCAGCTCTTGCTCTTTCAAAGCTCCCAAGAGGTTTCTAAAGCTCTAAAGCGCAGCCGGGATTGAGAACCACTAATTACACGGCACAGAGGAGGCCCGGCGAGAGGGGAGAGGGGCCTCCACTCACCTTCTCCGCCTCGGGCATGTTGTCCAGGATTGTGTGCATGCAGCCGATGTTGAAGCAAATCCTGGAGTGGGGGTCCTGGACTGCAGTGAAGGCGTCCAGGGCTCCCTTCCAATCCTTCTTGTCAGCTGCCAGCACCCCTTCATTCCAGAGGCTGATGGCCTCAGCCAGGGACATGGTCAGGCGCAGGCCAGGGGGCTTGGGGGGCTGCCAGGGGACAGGGAGAGGGCAAGCTGGTGTTTCCCTCAGCGGGGCCGCTCCCAGACCCTCGCTTCCCTGTTGCGGTGCTCAGAATGTGCTCCCTGAAGACAACCTCTCAGAGTTGCAAAGGTTCAGGAAATGTCCCCACCTTTTGGCAACTGACGCACAATCCTAACATGAGACAAAAGGAAAGAGAGAGGGAGGGCAAGTGGGGGCGGAGTGTGGAGGAGAGGAAGTACATCAGATACTGCCTGCCATGGGTCACTTCCCCAAAATGTTTCTGCTCTGTCTCCCAGCTGGCTTCTCTCTTCCACCCCTTGCTTCGGGGCAGCTTCTGGTCAGGTCTCTGCCCCCAGGCTCAGGGCAACCTCGACAGGTGGATGCACCTGGTTGGGCCTCCATTTCCATATTGTTATTAAATGAGGGTGTTGGGGTGCCTGGATGGCTCAGTCTTTTAAGCCTTTGATTTCAGCTCAGGTCATAATCTCACAGTTGAAAGCCCCTAGTCGGGCTCCCTGCTGTCAGCACAGAGCCTGCTTCAGATTCTTTGTCCCTGCCTCTCTCTGCTCCTCCCCAACTGGTTCTCTCTCTCTCTCTCCCAAAATAAATAATAAATTTTTAAAAACTTAAAAAATTGAGGGTGTTGGATGATAGGACAGTTCTCTTCAGTCCTAAATGAATTCCTTGCTCACTTTCTCACAACCTCATAGACTGTCTGGATAGATTTGTTTTTGATCTTGAGCGAAAACAAGCAATTAACAAATTACTGAGACAGGACTGTCTTGGGTGTCCACCTGGATCCGAGATAACTGTTATGAACTCGTAGGAAGCTCAGAGGGGATCAATCTCCCACAAAGGAAGAATTCTGTGTGGCAGGTGAGGATAATAAAATCAAAAAAATAAGAAACAACAAGGAGCCGGATCAGTCAGTTAAGTGTCCGACTTCGGCTCCGGTCATGAAGGTCATGATCTCCCGGTTTGTGAGTTCAAGCCCCACCTTGGGCTGTGTGTTGACAAGTGAGGAGCCTATCAGGATCCTCTGTCTCTCTGTCTCTGTCTCTCTCTCTGTCTCTGTCTCTCTCTCTCTGTCCCTCCCCAAAAATTAGGAGCCAGATATGACAGTGAATTATGAATTCTTTCATCCCTCTGTGAAAAACTGAAGACAGGAGGAGTCTTGTTGGTAACTAATGCGTTCCTAGTCTCCACAAAAACGGGCTTAAGATTCCTTTCCTTGCTGTCCTGGAAAAGGAAGGATCAATGAAACCTCCCTGGAGAGTAATTGGGAGCAGAGAGTCTAACTAATTTTACTTGCTCCATCCTGACTTCTTGTTAACATTGGTTCAAACGAGGATCAACTATTGTTCTGTAGTAACCAAAAAAACTCACAGGTTATCAGTAACCTTCCCCAAACAGCCTGAAAACAAACTTTAAAAATGTACCTTCCATAGGGCTTGCAGGACCGACTGAGAATCGAGAAGGTGTGCGTGTGTCTGTATGGAGCATCCCCTGTGTTTGGAAGCCCTTCCCACCTCACTCCTTTGCCTGGAAAAGCCCAGTTAAACGTCCCACTTCTCTGAGATCTCGCCGCACAATTCAGGTAGTAGAGAGAATTTTCCCTTACTTTGAATTTCTTTTAATGTTTATTTATTTTTAAGAGAGACAGAGATAGAGTGTGAGCAGGGAGAGCCAGAGAGACAGGGAGACACAGAATCCAAAGCAGCCTCCAGGCTCCGAACTGTCAGCACAGAGCCTGCTCGGGGCTGCAGATCATGACCTGAGCCAAAGTTGGACGCTTTGCCGACTGAACCGCCCAGGCGCCCCTCCCCTCCTTTGTACCACCTCGTCCCTCACACTTAGGCTGTATTTGTTGCAATTTATTTCTGCATCTGCTCAACGCCTGCGAGCTGGGCCATGGCTTCTCATGCTAGGACCCCCAGAACCAATGCTCAATTAAATGATGAAGGGATATCTTAAAAGGAAGTTAGAAATCATTGGCAAATGACTGGCAGGTGGCAGTGATACTGGAAGGAGATACTGTGACTCCAGCCAGTGAATAATCAAAACTTGATTAGCATGTATGTTGATTGTTACTAGGAAAACCAAGTCGTTAAAAAATTTTTTTTAAATGTTTATTTATTTTTGAGAGAGGGGTTGAGAGAGAGAGAGAGAGGCAGAGAGAGGAAGACAGAATCGGAAGCAGGCTCCAGACTCTGAGCTGTCAGCACAGAACCCAACCTGGGGCTCAAACTCATGAAGTGTGAGATCATGACCTGAGCCAAAACTGGACACTCAACCGACCGAGTCACTCAGGAGCCCTGAAAACCAAGTGGTTTTGTAGCTAAGCTAGATTTTATTTAAACTTTTTTTTGTTGTTCCTTATTTTTTATTTTATTATCCTCACCTGCCACACAGAATTCCCCTTAAGCTGACCCCCGTGACTTTTCTAGCCTTATTTTCCAGACTGTGCCTTCACAAAGCCCTACAAACCCTCCCACTTGTTTCTGTCCCTCTAGGTCTGCATTTCCTGCCTCTTTGCTTTGGCCCAAGCCACTTCATCTCATGTCTGCACCTTCAGACCCACCTTGCATAGCGCCTGCTCAAAGATCACTTGCCTTCAGAAGCCACCTGGAAATAATCAGGCTCCCCCGAAGCCCGAAAACTGTGATCTCACCTTCTCCCATGTGACACTTAATCACTCTCCCCCCAGAGAAGAGTTATGTGTGTGCACCTGCATCTTGGCCCCTCACACAGACCGTACACCTCCAGGGGGCAGTCCCGGGACAGCCCCATCCTTGTATACCCAGAGCACCAGAAATACTGTTCATACTCAACTCTGTCCACATTCTCGCCATCCCTCCTGTTGCAGAGCCTCTGTCACTCCTCACCTCTCCTCATCCCCTCCATCCATTCTCCACACCGCAGCCAGATTGGTGTTTTAAAAGACAAGTCAGATCACATCGTGCCCCTGTGTTGAAACCTTCAAGTGCCTTTACATCGCTCTTAGAACACAATCCATACTCTTCCTGCTGCAGAGAGGACCCCCTGCCTGCTGCCCCATGCTCTTTCTGTGCCATTTCCCCCTGCCAGTCCCCTCTCCCAGTCCCATCTCCTTCCCGTGTTCTCGAAAGAGACAGACCTGTTCCGTCTGCCTGCAATGTTCTTCCCCCAGCCCTCTACCTGCTCGTTTCTACTCATCTTTCATGTCCTCTGAATGGCCCTTCTTGACTGTGACCTCTCTGTGGTCACCCTACTGTGTCTCCCAGCCATCGGTTCTCTCTGATCATGGTGCTTTTTTATTTTTGTTTTTTGTTACATTTTTTAAATATTTGTATTTATTTTTGAGAGAGAGGAAGAGAGAGAGAGAGAGCAAGCATGATCTGGGGAGGGGCAGAGAGAGAGGGAGGCACAGAATCCGAAGCAGGCTCCAGGCTCTGAGCTGTCGGCACAGAGCCCGATGTGGGGCTCAACCCTGCAAACCATGAGATCATGACCTGAGCCGTCAGACGCTTAACCAACTGAACCACCCAGGTGCCCCTGTTTATTTGTTTCTTAAGGAAGCTCTACATCCAACACGGGGCCTGAACTCACGACCCTGAGATCAAGAGTCACCCGCTCTACCAACTGAGCCAGCCAGGTGCCCCTCGTCAGTGTTTGTCCCAGTTTGTAACTGCATATTGTCTGTGAGACTGTTTCTGTGGCCCTTGCAGAGACTGTCATTACTACTGTCCTTAATTACAAGTTATTGATACTGTTAGGAGATGGCCTTCTCAGCCACTCTTCATTCCCCTTCCTCTATTTGGTAGAACCCCACTTTTGTTCAAGTCTCCACTCTCCTGAGGCCATGTGCTCCAGGGAAGATAAACCCCCAGTGCTGCCCCAGGGAGTGGGTTCTGACTGGTTTAGACACAGGCCTGAGATTTAATTCTGGTTAATAAGACCTCAGGGGAAGTCGGCTAAGGATTTCTGGGAGAGAGATTTTTTTCCCCATTAGTGAAAGACACATGGGAAGAAACAGTAGCTGTTTCTTCCCTAGACAGTGTTGTGAAGATGTCCCTAGAACAGTGGCAGCTTTCTTGTCACCATGAGGAGAGCCAGCTAAGATGGTTCAAGCCAAAGTCTTAAGGAAAGGAGGATGGAAAACTAAAATAAAAAACTGGATTTTTAATGATGTTAGTGAGTTCCTAAATTAATCCATCCTAGAGCTGACCAACCTCAGGACTTCTTATTTGGCGGGATAATAAATGTATTTGTTGTGTGAGCCATTTTAATGGGGTTTTCTGTTAGTTTAAAATATTTTGACAGAGGGGAGCCTGGCTGGCTTAGTCAGAGGAGCGTGTGGCTTGTGATCTCAGGGTTGTGAGTTTAAGCCCTACGTTGGGTGTATAGATTACTTAAGTAAAAACTTTAAAAACAACAACAACACATTCTGACAGATATAGCACTGTATTCACATTCCTAGCATAGCACTCGATATAGTAGGTGTTCAGTAAACATTATTTCTTGAGTAAATTTTGCTGAGACATAGTTTGGATAACAAAGTTGCAGCTCAGTACCTTTGAAATTACTCCAACATTCTGAATAAGCAGCGTTTACGTCTCAGTGGCTAACAGGTCACAAAACTCATGTTGCATGCTTGCATTCAGCTGGAAGGTAAGAACATTCCCAGTGTTTTCCTTTCTCTCTGAGGGAGAATCCTGGGAAATCGAACTTATTATTTCCATTATTCCTTGTCACTCAGCAGTTACCTCCTGATCCCCACTTTTAGCATTTAGTGTTTAATTGTTCTTTAACTTTTTAAAAACTACATCAGACTCTCTCAAGCTCTTCAAAGGGTAGAACCATGTCTCGATTTTCCTTCATCTCTGTTCACATTTAGTATAGATCTAGGCCAGTGGCAGGTGCTATATAGACTTTGGCTAATTGGACAAATGAATCAAAAACTAAAAAAATTGAATCCTATTTGAAAAATATAATTTTATAGAGTTTGTCAGTGTCATCTTACTTGTATAAAGTGAGGTACAATCATAACAGTAGGGAAAAACATATTCTTTCTATGACCTCAACTCTAACAGCAAGTGAATATTTACATTGAGTTCCACACAGGAAACCCTCAGGTAGTGGGCAGGGAGACCTCATCTATTATATATAAACTTGGCCTGGATTTCACAGGGAGCATACA